TTGGCTGCCAATTTTGATTTGAAGAAGTCCCAGATATGCTCTTTAGGCGTGAGACCCCTAATCTTGTTTTGATGATTTATTTTGTTATCTGGAGTTTGTTTTATTTTGAAGTTGTCTGGGATTTGTCTTGTTGTTTCTCTTTTGTACTTTTGTGGAAATGAATGAAATGTTATTTTGACAAAAAAAAAGAAACTATTCCATAGCCATCGTCATCGTGTCGTGGGGACGAGAACTACCTTCATAATTTCTGCAAACTCTAATTAGCAATAAAAAAGGGCAACAAAGTGATGATTCATGTATCATAGAGCGAAATGAGATGGTCCAAGCACTTGTTGGCGGACTGCTTATCGAAACCGAATTCGAGAGCCAAGCTTAGTAACCGAGCTTTCTCTATCTCCAAGCCCTGCTCATGGAATTTCAACCTGTTCGAGCAATTCGGAGGATTGATGATGCACAAGTTGGAATCGAATTGATCAATAGAGGACACTTGAAGTGCTCTTGTTCTAACACCTTCCCAGCAATGGCGGGATTGATGTTTTTCCTTTTCCTTTTTATATGGCAGACAATGGAGAGATTGGAGCCAATTTTTTTTTAAAATTTTTCTGACAATTCCATTTTCACACCTGAAGTTTGTTTTAAGTTCTATTTTGCCCCCCTCATTAGTTTTTTGGTTTAATTTGACCCCCCTTGGGTTTGTTTGGGAGGAGAATTTTCTTTTACTTAGTTCTTTTCTGGGGTTGAGCCATTCTTGACCGTTGCAGGAATATGTGTGAAGGCTCCTTCACAACCACAGGACTTGCATGTCGTACTGAAGTTATAAATCTACGAGACGTATGTCAAATTTCTTTTTTGTTGCTATGTATAAGCAAAACAAAAGTAAATTTTTTTTAATTGACATTTTTGTGTTTATATATTAATATATATTTTTTAACGAGTAGGGAAATGAATGGCATGTCACTCAATCACTGGTCAAAGCAATAGGCAAGTAAAGAAAAAGCTCATGCAGTTGTCGCGCCACATACAGTGGATCCACGTGGCAGGGTGTACCACACTCGAGCGTCAGGCCAACTAAGAAGGAGCCATGTGAAAGCAAATGGAAAAAATCATTAATATTTTCTCTTTTTCGATTAACATGAATTGCATATACATATGGTTCAGACTCATTAAAATATATATCGAATAATTTTTTTACTGTAAATTCATCACAATCTACTTTTAAAATTTTAGCTAATCCATATATGATTCAGGTCACTAAATGAGTTAAAAAGTAGGTTTTTGATCATTTTTCAACGTCTATAGCGGTGAGAGGCTTTCATTTCAACGGAAAGGGAAAGCACAATGTTGTCCATCTTCACTTTGATTTGCACGGCCGTGTGATCCCATTACAAAGAGAACTAACAAAATGTGAGAGTTAGTTGGTTAAAGAAGTAAAATTTCTTCATCAAAGACACAATTCCACGGTAGGATTGTGTGTACCCAAGCACATCTGGTTCATCTTTTGAGGCAAGAGAAGAAGTAATTTCCAATATGGACAGCTTGCCAAAGTTGCCAAGTAAAGGAGACGATTGCAGGGCTCTTTTGAAATAGCGCCATGTGAAAACTAATTTTCCAATGTGAACACCTTGACTCCAACGTAAAGGTATGGATTCTTTCGGTCAATGGGGTCAGGGAAAGCAAAAGGTCGACCATCCTTCACATTGATTTGCGTGGCCACGCGGTCCAATTACAAAGAGAAAGTAACAAAATATCCCTTAAAGTATAAATTGAGGTAGTCTTGCCCATTTGGAGGAAGGGATTGTTTTGGTGGGTCTTGGTCAAAAAGGTGAGGGTTAAAAAGAAGTCCAATTGCCTCGTCGAAGAAAGGCAATTCCACCACAAGATTGCGTGTCTTCATAGAAGAAGTAAAAGCTTTTATTTAAAGTCCTGAGTGCTTTTGCTTGAAGAGGAGAAACGCCAATCACCATAAATCACTCATATTCTCGTTTTTGTTCTGAGATATTTGGTTTTGATAGCTTTAGGATTTTTTTTTTCTTTTGGGGTAAGAAATACTACTTTTATTTATCATTAGAAGTTCTAGACAAAATCCAAAGAAGTTGCGGGGTTGGGCTAATCAAGAAGAAAGAGGGGAAAATTACTAAAAAGTCCTAAATATAATATAATTGTGTCAATTGGTCCTAAACATTTTACATTTATATCAATTCAATCCATTTAGCTAATTTTGATCGCCTGGCCCCGACATGGATGTTGGCCAACGCCCACATCGGCCGTGCTAACATGACAATTTTTTAATTTTTATATTAATTTTTTTTTCTTCCTTCTTTTGTTTCCCACTATGGGTGGCGAGGGTCTAGAAGCTCGCGGCCACGGGTGTGGGCCACAAAGCCCTTGCTCGGCCTTGCCCAAATCGGGCGAGGCCATGGCCGCCATCACCCATGGCTAGCGAGGTTTACTTCACTAGACTTCGCTCTTGGCACAATCAAAGGTAAACAAATTAATAACAAGTATATTAAAAAATTGCATAGTATCGGCATGTTCTACAGGTAGGTCAGCTCTACGTCAGCGTCGGTAGAGTAAAGTCATTGGATGGGTGAATTAATTACTCTTTTTTTTGTAAATTTAAAAAATTTAGGATTGAATTGATAAAAAAAATATTTATTATTGAATTTGGCATAATTATAATAAATTTATGATTTTTTTGATAATTTTTTCGAAAAAAAGAGTATTCAAATGTTGGGTTTTAGCTACCCAATCAGCTAATTGATTCGCGATGGGCCGCGGATATACTTTTGAAATTAGCCAACTGGGCTCGGTGCGTCCAAGACACAAGTGCCTCCACCTCCCATGGCCCCACGTGATTACGTTCCAGCAAGAGAGAGAGTCAACCAGCGCCGCGTCGTCCGACTCCCCGAATACGAAGCTTCTCTTTTACTACTTCTAGATCTGAAAGCGCATCAATAGCCTCTACCACTACCAGAGAGCGAGAGCTTCGGTTTGAATCGGACGAGCAAGCAGGTGATTTCTTCATCGCGAATCCCATCGAGCAGCACACCTGAGGCGTCGCGAAGAGCACCTGCAATCGCTTCTTCCGAACCACACCGGCTTCGAAGGACCCCCCAGATATTTCATCTCGAGGGACCGGTTTCTTCGGCGGGCACCGATTCACGGGTAAATCAACTCGAATCGTGTCAAAGTTTCGAACTTTCAGCGTCCCGCTTGTTATGATTTCTGATCACAGGCTCCGCCGAGGCATATTAGGGTTCCTGTGTGTTTGGGGGGGTTTCTTCGTCGGAGCACACTGAGGTCGTCTCTGGATTTCCAGATACACCGGAGAAGAGCTGCGATCTTATCGAAAGATAGTGAGTTCCCTTGTCTGTCGTTGGTGATTTTCGTAGTAGCCACTCGTCCTTTCTCGTGGGTGTTCTGACCTGAGATCTGCTAAATTTGCCTCGGTGTCTTTCCGAATCGAGCCGGTCCGGGTCCGGGTTGAGGCGTGAAGGTGTGAATCCTCGGATCGTACCGCACAACTTGATTTTGCTGCTTCGAGGCAACTTCTTACTCTCAAACACTGAAACCCATCACAGTAATTTCATCGCTGCATCTCCTCGAGGTAAGCCCGACCTTCATTCTCCTAACTGTTACAATTGATAGGAAAAAAAAACATTCGATTCTTACTCCTCGCACAACACCTAACGTCATTTTAATGCATACAGAATACTACTTGCGAAATTTCCTCGGGACAAAAAGCCCGTCCGATTAAAATTACGAAAATACCCTTCTAAACCCGAAGTCCATCGGCCCACAGGTACCCCGATTGTCCAAAATTACTTAAAGCCCGAGACATCCGAAATACTTACTTTTTGCATAAATAATGCTTTTTTCTTTTCCTTGAAAACAGTTAAAATCTAGATTTTTCCAAATATCGATGGTGCTGGTCTATTCTCTTCAATAATTGCACAAAACCTTTCAAAGGCTATGGATTAGAATTGTCAGCAACAAAAATTTATCTGAGCAGATCAGATCAACTAGAGAATTTTTGGATGTCCATAAAACCATTTTCCATTATATTGGCAATTTTCGTAATTTCTAGAAAATGACAGAAAATTCAAATGTTTTTCGGAAATTATGAAAAATTCACAGATTGTACTATTTTTTTTGTGCTGGTTACAATGGAAAACTTGAAAGTGAGCAAAGCTGCTGGTTTCAATGCACTTACACGTATTTAATATGTGGACAATTTTTAGGGGGACTTTATCTTTGCAGATTGAATAACAGAACTTCGTCATAAAGTATTGTTTTCACGCAATTTAACTACTTACGGCAAAGACGTGACTTTTACGTGTATATATATAGCGTAGAAAGTTCTTCGACCTACGACAGATTTGACAATACAATTTATGCATGTTTAGGGCGGGGGGAGGAAAATGTAGTATGTACAGGAAGTAAGAACGTCTTTGATAATGAATGATATAATGGAAGATTCACAAGCCGGTTAGAGCCACATTTATGTGTTTAACAAAATGGTTTTTAAAGTGATATGAGAAGTGGTCATTCCGTACTCTGGTCCAAATTGTGTGACTTGACTTTTGCTTGCCATCTGAAAACAATTTAATTGCTACCAGTCAATCAGCGATGGGATACCTGTCCATCAATAATAAATGCAAGACTTATCGTCTAAACTGATTGGTCCCTTCTCTCTCTCTCTGATTTCTCACTTTATCTTTCACATTGAGCCTCTCTCTTGCAGAAACCATTCGAGACTATCGTCTACTGATTAGTCCTCACTCGCTTTCTCTGTTCTTTTCCACTTGAAAGTTCTCGCCCAGGCTTGTTCAGGGTCTTCTCTCCCGATCTCGCGCCTCTCTTTGCATCTCAGCTCGCAGGAGGTAATCACTTTTTCATCCCTTACTAGCGTGTGTCGTTTCTGTTGATTTTGTCGCTTTGTTATCGGAATAATCGGCTGAACTAAGTGTGTTCTGGGCCCTTTTTGTCTATTGGGGACGTCGGGGTGGCCGCTGAATAGCAGAGGAGGGTCTTCTATTCTCTCTTTTGGAGCCGCTGTTGCCTGTTAACGAGGTATGTCCCCAGCTCAGATTTTACTTCGGTGCAAAAAGAAAGCCCTTTGTTTTCGACTTTAGATGTGGCTAATCCTATGATGGCCTTACTGGCTGATTGTTAGTTGCATCGTAATTCAGTATTTGATCTTTTGTTGAACTAGAACGAGGAGGTCTGCAAGTGCACTAGATTCTATTGCGCACAAAATTGCCACATTTCACTTGAATCCAGAGACCATTATTTTTTATGCGTTGTGAGGTTTCTTTGTGTTTGAAGGTCCTAGATTAATTTATAGAAAAATAAATCAAAAATAAAAGTAGGCTGGTTTGAGGGTCAACTAGTTTGGTTCTCGGTCACAAACACGGAGCACCAATTATTACAGGATACGTTCTTGATGCTTTGTTCAAGACCTACTCATTCTGAAACTGATCATCCTAAGAGTAAGTCTTCTCTTAAGGAGATTTCATTCGACAATTTTACCTCCCTATAAAAAATTCCAAATTCCAAATATTATGTTTTCCTTGAATTGTTGGACCATTAATCCTAGAAAGTAGATTCCCTTTCACCTCTAACTCATTTTCTCCCTTCTTTAGTAAAAAAAGAGAAAAAGAAAAACTCATTTTCTCCAATAGCAAGAAAAAAAAAACTAAGACGTACGGTGAAAGTTTAAGCATTTTAACTATATTGCTACTTTTTACACCGCTCTCAACTCATGATAGTTTCAATCATCACAATATAAAACATACCAAAATCCATAGCATGATACTTCTTAAGACCTTTTACATGATATCCTATAGTAAGAAAAAAAAAAACCTAGTTGATCTTATGACACATGAAAACAATCAAATAAATCGAGCCATACATGCATATTAGGAGATTCACCTAGCTTTACATCACTCATTTCTTACACCTCTTTTGTTACAAACAATAAATTCATTCTTCCAAATGTGATTTATCAATTTTAACCTGACTTATCACGAATTTAGTTGATAATCCTATTCTACTTCCATTTAATTGGATAAAGAATCTTTGCGGTGATATTCTCAAGGTGGGCACTCCAACAAAAATGGGGACAAGCACTCGACGCCATTGTTTCAAACCTTGGTCGTCTCTAAAATTTTCCTCAGCAGCTTCCTTTTACAGATAAAATATCAATCAACTTTGTAGATTTGAAAATTTGAAACGAAAGGCTCAGTGATTAAATACCAGTTCAAAATAAATTCATTTTACATGGAATTGTACCATGTGGTGCCGGCATGGAATAGATAAAAGATAAATAACCACGGGCATTTTGTTTATCTCTACCTCACATTTCCAACTTCATTAAGAATATGGCAATTTTAAACAAAATTAGAATAGAAAATCACATCCACAATTACTAGCTCGGTCCTCTCTCGATGTCTTTCACACGTTTCTAATTCCGTTTCAACTCAATCATTATCTTTTAAGTGATTTATCGAATTCCAATTTTCAATAACCAAATAAGAAACTGGACGTATGCTTTAAATTTTTAATTGAACGCAATATACTTGTACACATATTCTTATAGCCCAATTGAAAAACGCATAAACGTTACTCATGAGTGGATCAAGCCAACAGGTTGTGACTTGAATAGGGTGAGGTCCAAAAGAAGATAAGGCGAGGACTAAAAACATCTACGCAATTGCTCCTAGTCAATCAATTACTAATTAATTAAAGATTTCATGTTCATTTTTTCTTGCTTTTTTGGTAATTTTCCCGATTCATGTTCATACTTGTTCATAGAGATTAGTTCATCGATCCTTCTATATATGCGGCAGAATAGCATCTTTCGTTCCAACTTCATTCCCTTTTTTCACTTTCAATTCATGTTCAAGGAGGTTTCTATGTGTCATGAATTCATAATTCAAAAGCCTTTTGGACGTTACCTCTAAAAGTAAGCCCAGGCACTTCATTCCCTTCTTTTCTATTTTTTTTTTCCCTAAATCATCTTTTATTTTTTTGAATATTTCGCATACTTCTATTTTCATTGGTTTACTGACTTTTCAAGAGCTGAATGATATGCCAACAAAATTGTAATAAAAAAATGGCCCGGAAAAGAACTCAAGGATAGTGTACAAGTGTTTCATATATCATTAGTAACTTAATACTAACGCGTCATGCTCATTTGGTGTCATTTAACAAATTATAGCTCTATTTTGTGGACAATATATCAATCGATAATTTAAATTTGAAAGTTTGAAGTGAACAGCTCGGTAACATGGTATCATAAATTTGTCCTATATAAAATTATTGGCATGTGGGGCCAGCACGAAATAAATAAGAGAGAAATGACAACAACCATTTGTTCATCTCTGCCTCGCATTTCCAATTTCATTAAGAATATTTTAAATAAAATTAAAATATTAAATCACCAAATTTGAACCAAAACATAAAAGAAGTGAAGCAACAGACTTGAAACGAATAGAGAAGCAACATTCACGCAAAAAGAGAAAAGAACACAAGAGAGAGGGAGAGAGGGAGAGAGAACAAAAAAAAATCAAGTGAATCATGAAATTTCAAAGACTTTGGACATTCTTTTTTTTTTTCATTGTTTTCGTGAGTGATCATGTTACTAAAGATACAGTTGACAATTCATGTCGTGTCATATTAATTGTGTCATGTCGAGTTAGGATAAAACACAAATATGGCAAAACCTGAAGAAGAAATGTTTAGTAAATGCGTTGAATTGCCACAATACGAACACGACACTTTTAATAAAGAAGGTCAAATGACACAACACGACAAATGCAATTATTAAACGCGTCACCACATGAAATGTCAACATTACACCATGCAGTATGCTAACCTATGTACATGCAAAAAGACGCAACACATTGCATTACATCTAAAGCAAAGAGCAAAATTGCTCCCCGTGATATTCTAATTACTCTTGAGACGCAGCCTTTTGTATTAGCAGTAATCCTATTTAAGAGTCATACAATTTTATCACACAAAAAGCCCCAAATTTCGAACAAACTAAAGCCATAAATTTCAAATTCTAAAAATTAAGAACAAAAAAACAAGCAAACCACGAAAGAAGAGAGGGAAAGTTAAAATCAATATATGTTGGGATACATGTTGGGTGGAAATGATGTAAATGGAACTCAATTTCTTTGATAGACTTAATTATCCTTCATTTTATTCACTTTTAAAAGGAAGTAAGGCCAATTTTGTAAGAAAAGTGCAATTTTTGCATTACCTCTCATTTCTATGCACTTTTAGAAAGAAATAAAATGTGGGCCCAAAAGGAAGTATTTCCTTTTCATTGAGAATGATTTTCATCGACTTCCTTCATAATTTAAAAAGCTGAGTAATTTGAAAATTTTTCCTTGATTAATATTTTAGCTTTAGTTAATTTTACATATCAGCGATGCTTAAAACTTGAATCCTGCCAAATTTAAAACGTGACTGATAAAAATTTCCTCCAATTAGGAAAGTGCACACATCTAGAGGATGAGGTTTATTGGGCAACAATCAAACGACACTACATGAGTTTGGCCAATGGAAATGGGATTAGATAGAAGGGGTTGTGAAAATGAGGCAGTGGAGATAGTTAGGGTTGTTTATATATTAGGCTAAAAATAATAAGAGTAAGGTCTCGGATTATGATAAGGATTAGGCATTGTGTGAGCTTATATTCAGAAGAAGATGCTTACATGGATTTTGTACATAATTTGAATATCTTAGGTGTGAACTGAAAGAATCTGTCTTTAAATGTCATAGGCATGCGTAAAGTTATGTAGTTGTTCAAATGTGTTTTAAGGAAGTCGACTAATTACACTTCAATATGTTTAATTTCAAATATGTGTTTCTAAAGAAGTAAATGATGGGGTTTTTTGGGGGCCTCTTCACGGCCACCTAATATTCCGCAGTGAAACAATGTCAGCTTACTCAACTGAAGGCCTTTCTCAAGAACACGAACCTTCTTCAGCATTGCCTAGGGGGGGAAATTGACGTCCACATTATTCAGAGTGGACCAAGCCAACAAGCATTTGCAGAAAAGCATCCTAAAAGCATAGTTCGTTGTTCGTCAATCCTTTTAAGCAGCAGAAAAGCATCTTTTCGATTCAACTTTCCCCCTAAGATCACCATGGACAAAGGGCAGAGTCAGAGAAAGAGAGCAGAGGAAGAGAGCATTGAGGGAGCATCCACTTCTTCATTCATCTCTCCGGTACCCACAGATGTAGGCAGCAGTCAATACGACGTGTTCTTGAGCTTTAGAGGCTCGGATACCCGCAAGGCATTCACCGATCACCTCTACCATAGTTTGATCGAGGCAGCGACTGTACCGATTTATGTGTTCAGGGACAATAACAGCATACCAATAGGTGAGGAATTTGGTTCGAAGATTCTCGATGCCATCACACGATCTAAGATTTCGATCCCCATCATCTCTAAAAATTATGCTTCGAGCAAATGGTGCCTCCGCGAGCTCATTCATATCATGGACCGCAAGAAGAGCACATCACACATAGTGTTGCCCATCTTTTACAAAGTGGACCCATCGGATGTGCGGTATCTAAAAGGAAGTTTTGGGGAGGCATTCCATTCGCGTAAAAAGCATTTTGATGAGAAGGATATCCAGGAAGGGCCGAGAGCACTTAGAGAAGTGAGTGACTTACATGGATGGGAATCCGAGAAAGTTGCTAATGGGTACTTTGCTTCTGCCTGAACTTTTCTTTTTTGATAAGTGAGTTTTCTTGTTCATGTGAAATAGATGAATCACAATGGTTTCCAACGGAGCAAAAATCAAAGAAATGACAACCCCTCCGGTCAATAGTATCATTCACCAAACAAAACGCTTAGAAAGGACTCGAATGCTCAGTCTTCCAAAGCTTTATCACCCCCAGATACAATAGACGTCCTCATGCCAATGAAAGTCGGCTAAGTTGAAAAGGACCGGACACTTAGTTCACATTTACCATGTTTAGGTTTGATTTCCACTATCAGTAAACCCCATTGGTAGCGATCTGTAAATCAACTATAAGTCCTCAATTTAGACATGTGTGCTGCCCTAGCCTTAGAGTGGAGTAACCTCCTTTTCTCCTGAACTTTTTTTAATAAAAAAAAAATCGATCTCCTATCATTCTACTAGCAGCAATCTTAAGCCTTATAACGGATATTATACTTCTAGAGACTCTTAACGAGCTAGGTGCACCGTCTTATTCTATTTCAACAAGATCCTTCTAACGAAAGAGAAAAAAATAAAACGGCCACTAGCTATCATCCCCCATTGTTATTTATGAAACCAAAACATCTTGCATGTTAATTGGCCCCATCCATTCTTCACATGTATGTCGGTGTCTTTTGATGAGATTAAGTATGATTACGAAATTATCGATTGAGTTTTGTACTTGGACAGGCATGAAGGAGAACTAGTGGAAAAAGTTAAGAAAAAGGTTATGAGCGAGTTGCGACAAGATTTTCAGCTTGATGTTAGTAAGCACTTAGTTGGAATTGGTGATCATGTGAACAAAATCAGGAATTGGGTAGACACTCCAACCACTAATGCTCGAATGATTGGAATCTATGGCATGGGCGGGATCGGAAAACGACACTTGCCAAGGTAATCTATAACTGGCAGTCGAATGACTTCGTGCATCGCAGCCTTCCTTGTAGATATTCGAGAAACTTGACCTTGCCGCAACGGTATTCCTTATTTACAAAAGCAACTAATTAAGGAAATTCTACGAATTGAACATCGAAGTTTGGAATGTTGATGATGGAATTAATAAAATCAAATCTGGATTCAAAGGAAAAAAGGTTCTCATTCTTCTGGATGATATAGATGACAAGAATCAACTAGATGCGCTGGCTAGAGAACCTAATTGGTTTATGGGGGGAAGCATGATCATTATTACAACTAGAAATGAAGCCATTCTCGATCAATCTGAATTCATGGTAGACTACAAGTATGAATTGAATGAATTGGATGAGGTGCAAGCTTTGCTTTTGTTTAACAGACATGCATTTCATACGGACCATTCTCCAAGGGACTTTGAGGGTATATCTAGTGATATCATATCCACCATGGGTGGGCTTCCCTTGGCACTTCAGGTTGTAGGTTCATACTTGTATAACAAAACGAATCGAAAAGTATGGGAAGATGTGCGTAAGCAATTAAAAAGCCAACCACATAGAGATGTCCAAAAGATATTGCGAATAAGTTACGATGCATTAGAAGATGGACATAAGCAGATTTTTCTCGATATTGTTTGTTTCTTTATTGGCGTAGATAGCGAAGTGCACAAACTCGCCATGTACATGTGGGAAGACCGCGGGTTTTATCCAAGTCAAGAAATTGAAGAGTTGAAGTTGAGGTGCTTAATTAAAATTGGAGATGATGGTGAGTTTATGGTGCATGATCAACTTAGAGACCTTGGAAGGAACATTTTTTGTCAAGGACAACCGCTTGACAAACCTAGCGGGCCATGGGATTACGACTACAGGGGAGCCTCAAGAGTAGTATGGGAATATAAGGTAAAATATTGCACTCCTTTCTTTTTCTCTCCCTCTTATTTTAATATATTTAATCTGATTAATTCTAGTATTTCGTCTAGCATGAACAGATGCTCTTACTTTCTAGGAAAAAAAATTGTGTAAACATCCATTTATGTCCATCGTATATTAATCGTGACAACTAAATAAATTATAAGTATCCGAGAGATGAAAAAGTTAAATCATTTGATTCGATTTCATTGATATAAATTACATCCGTAAAAATTTAGGAATCGGCAAATAATATGTATTAGGGCCAATTATAAGTATCCGAATGTAATGTGGTGCTCCTGTGATTTAGGAATCCAATTTTTGATTTTTTTTTCTCCATTTTGATTTTGAAGATACTCGTCCCTCTGCTCTACCAGTTATTTCTATCTCTTTTCATTCTTATTTCCTCTTAATAGATAAGATAGCAAAAATCCCCTTAAAAATATATTCAAGAAAATCTTACTTTTTTAAAGGTTTTAACACGTTCACCTAGCTCATTTCTTATAACAAACATTCCTATCCGCTATAAGTTCTTTTATATTATTTATATTTTTTGGGACAATGCCTCTTTTGTGCTAGAAACCGCTTGACTAACTTGACTATTTATAAAAAAAAAAGAAAAGAAAACTTGACTAATCAAAGGAAATTTCGTGCTGATTATTATATCCACACCTTTGTATTCATTATGTATGACTTCCAGCATGAAGCCAAAATTTTCAATTATGTTTATCTTTTACTTAAATTATCAATGCTCATGTCATATTATTATAATATATTTGTCCATCTTGATGCCTCATAGGCTCATGACTGATCAATGGCGACGAATTAAGCCTAGCAATTAACCAAGAGATGTTGGGCAATGGAAACATCTTTATATTCTTGATATAATTTGAAATAGTTCCTTCCTATGATTCGATATCACACTCTTTTGTTGATCCAATAACTTCTTAACATTAGCAAAAAGAGCACACCATACGGGTCTTTGGAAAAATGAAAAAAAGTTAAATTTGTTTTGAATAGACAGAAATGTTGAAAGATGATAATTAGTGTAGGAAAAAAAATTAGGGAAAATACCACAAAAAATATCAAACTATGTTACTTGTGACAAATTTACCCTGAACTTTTTTTTGTGACACGAAAAATTTCAAACTATGTCATTTGTGACACGAAAAATCTCAAATTATGCTATTTGTGACACATTTACCCCACAATACTTTGGCCGATAGGCATTTTCGTCTTTTTCCTTTTTCTATTTTTTTTCCTTTTTTTGTTCCTTTCTTCTCTGGCGGTGGGAAGCCGGCGAGGGCGGTCCTTGCCGGTGCTAGGTTGGGCAAGGGATGCCCTCGCAGGCGTCGGGCGAGTGTCACCCTCGCTCGACACCGGCGAGGGTCGCCCTTGCCGGACTTCGACGTCGGGCGAGGGCTACCCTCGCCAGATCCGGCGAGGGCGACTTCGCCCGACTCAGGCGAGGGTTGCCCTCGCTGGATCTGGCGAGGCGAGAACCGCCCTCGCCAGCTTCCCTCCACCGGAGAAGAAAGGAAAAAAACAGAAAAGGAAGACGAAAATGCCCATGAGTGAAAGTATCGTGGGGTAAATGTCACAAGTAGCATAGTTTGGGGTTTTTCGTGTCACAAAAAATAGTTTGGGATAAATTTATCACAAGTGGCATAGTTTGGGGTTTTCGTATTACAAAAAAAAAGTTCAGGGCAAATTTGTCACAAGTGGCATAGTTTGGGATTTTTTGTGATATTTTCCCAAAAAATTAAATGATTGTAAGGTAGAAAGATTTTGATTTAACTTTGGAAAATGAAATACTTATGGGACTAATTTCCAATTGTCCTGACTATTTAAAATATAATTCTTTCTATTTTGTTATATCCTATTTCTTCAACTCATTTTGGTGAAATATCTGCGAATTGTGTAAACTTTTGACGAAAGTTTGAGATTTGAAATTCCCTTTTCATATAGTAGACTTTTTAATGTAATATACCGTATAGATTGATGTACGAGTGAAAATTATGAAAGATAGCATGGGGTGATGATTACAACAATTGAGTGACTTTTCCTACGAACAAACTTAGGAGAAATGATAACCGTTGTAGGTTTTTCACTATTTAATATTTAAAGTAGAGATAACGACAAACGAGTTGAACCGTAAAAGTGAATCAAATCAACCAAAAAATAAAATTCTAACCGATTGAACTTTTGGGAGAAACTATAGGTATTATTATTAAAATCAATCAAAGCCATGTGGGATTTTTTTCACCATCTTCAACTAATTAAATGATCTGTTTTAGCAGGAAATTATAACAGTATGTTTCGACTTATAAGATGCAAAAAGAAAGAGTGCCATTCTTATGCAAACGGACATGTGTCTTCGGTTTTTTTTTTTGGTAAATAAAAATAAGTGATTTATCCAGAAACTTTCATATGACAGGCTTTGCTTAAAGATATTGCTTAAAATCTAAAAAAGTGCATTGCTAACCAATGTCACCACATCTCTTTTTAAACATTGCAAAAAAAAAAAAGTTTCAGTTTTTAAAAAAAAATGATTAAACACTCCACAAATATAGTTAATGAAAAGAAAATCGGGTCCTTCCTTAGCGACTTAAAGGTGGCTCAGTAGAACTCTTTGACCAATTCTTTTGAAAAATTATACACAAGTCATATGAAAATTTACAAGTAAACATTTATATGTTGTAAAATGGTTTCACGTATTTCGTCTTAAATAAAATTCAAAGTGCACGAGCCATATAATTTGAAAAAAAAGAGAGCAGAAGATAAAACATTGAGGTGCATTTGCCTTAGCTGTTTTAAAGCAATAACTATTTTAAAAAATTAAATGCGAAATCATGTGTTCGTATTTATGTACGGGAGTGACAGGAAGATAACAAATCGTGCATATCCAAGATTTAAAAAGAAAAAGCAAAAATTATAAAGTTAAAAAGTCAATTTAGAGACTCTCAATGGATTGATTGGATATAACTGAAGGGGAATTGAAAAGGATTCCGTCATTTTTTTGGTCTCCTCGAATTCCTTCCGCCATACCCAGACGTCCTCAGATGAACCCTTTGAAAAAACTTGCAGAGCCCCTTCTGGTTCCATGACTGTATAAGGGCAGCTACAAGCGGAGACTCTTCTAACGAACTCCTTTCTGAAGTAAGATGGCTTGAGTGGTGCGTTGGGGGAAGCGATTCGTCTCTTTCGACGACCAGTTTGCATCTACCGAACTTATTGGTGCAGGATTTATCATGGAGCGACATCAAGCGGAGACTCCAACGAATTTGCATCTGCCGAATTTTTCTATGTTGCATCTTGGGAGACGATCCGCCTCTTCCGACGATTAGTTTGTATCTACCGAACTTATCGGTGCTGGATTTATCATGGAGCAGGTTCACAGAGGATTGGGAAGGATGGAGGAGTTCATTCATGGTAAGATTGGGGGAAAAAAGAAAGACATCCTCTCTCTCTCTCTGATTTTCAGGTTTTGTTTTTGTTTAGCCGATCCCCAACTCATTCTTTTGACATCTTATCCTCCTTTTTTGTATAGGCGTCAAAGCGGCTACATGTTCTCGACCTTGAGTGGTGCGAAGGTTTAAGATGTACTCCCGATCTCTCGGCTTTCACGCAGTTGAAGGTTCTCTGCTTGCGCGGTTGTGCCAGACTGGAGCATCTCCACCCTTCTATTGGCAAACTCAAGAGCCTCGTTTCCTTGGACTTGAGGTTATGTCATAGTCTCAAGGAGCTACCAGAGGAAGTGGGCGAATTAAAAGATTTAGAAGAACTTGTATTAGATGAATCTCGTATTACAGAGATCCCTACGTCTATTGGTTCTCTGAGGAAGCTGAAGAAATTGAGTGCCTTCTGTTGTAAGTCACTGAGAGAAATCCCTAGTTCAATTGGGAATTTACATAATTTGCAACATCTGAACTTGTTTAGCTGCGAAAGTCTCAAGGAGCTACCAGAGGAAGTGGGCGAATTAAAAGATTTAGAAGAACTTGTATTGGCTAAATCTGGTATTACAGAGATCCCTACGTCTATTGGTTCTCTGACGAACCTGAAGGAACTGAGTTTCAGATGTTGTAGGTCACTGAGAGAAATCCCTAGCTCAATTGGGGATTTACAGAATTTGCAACTTCTGGACTTGTATGGCTGTGAAAGTCTCAAGGGGCTACCAGAGGAAGTGGGCGAATTAAAAGATTTAGAAGAACTTCTATTAGATGCTACTAGTATTGCAGAGATCCCTACGTCTATTGGTTCTCTGAGGAAGCTGAAGAAACTGAGTGCCACCTATTGTCACTCACTGAGAGAAATCCCTAGCTCAATTGGGGATTTACAGAATCTGCGGGCTTTAGGTCTCGCAGGATGCTATAGTCTGAAAGGGGCAATTCCAAGTGAAATCGGCGACTTGTTTTCGCTTGAGAGTCTCAATTTCTGTGACACACCGATATCTGACCTACTAGAAAGCATCCGGAATCTTTCTTCTCTCCAAAGCCTTAGACTATCGGGCTGTGACAAGCTCCGGTCGCTGCCAGAGCTTCCTTCGGGCTTAACGGATCTGTGGGTCTCTTGTCAGAGTCCCAGGTTGCCACATCTTTCTAGCCTAATCCACCTAGAAGAACTCCATCTTTCGGCATGCCATCTACTTGAAGACATCCCCAAGCTTCCCTCGAGACTCTTGAAACTCTGTATTGAGGAGTGTGGTAAGCTGATATTGCTTAAGCTCAACGGATTGAAGAACTTGGAGTTATTTATAATAAAAAAGTGCAGTTCGATTGAAAGATTGGACCTTTCACAATTAATTCGTCTGAAAAATTTACACGTTAAGGATTGCAATAACCTAGTTGAAATTCAGGGCCAGGAGAATTTGGAGTTCTTGGAGCGCATATTTATAGACGACTGCAATTCCATTAAAAGGCTTCTCTGTCCAGAATCACGGTGTTTGAAGCGGTTAGTGGCTGTCAGGTGCAACAATCTAGTCGAAATTCGAGGTCTTGACGGTGCGAAGTTCTTAGAAAAGTTGAATTTTACGGGATGCGAATCAATGGAGATGTTGCCAAATTTGACGGGATGTGAGAAGTTACGATCTCTAAATGTTCAAAACTGCAAGAAACTTACTCAGCTTGGGGCATTTGTAAAGTTGGACTTAATTGATTTGGATATCTCCGGTTGTGACTCATTGGAAGTAATACCGAAATTATCCGGAATACGTGTCTTTAGAAATTATGAAGGAGAGCTGTCTTACGACTCATGTAGTGATGATTACTCAACAGAGAGTGATTGATGTTTCCTCAACAGAGGTAAATAAGTAGTGAACAATCATTTTTCTTCTGAGATTCATGACCTACTTTTCATCACTATCTTCTTTTGACAAATGTTTTCCATGACAGGGTTCTGTACTTTCCTAAATTGCTAGTCTTACATAATTGAAGGAGTGGGGGAGTTGGTCATAGAAATGCTTTGGCCAAGATCAAAATGTTGATGCAAATGTCAATAGAAGGCATTGGTCATCTAGTAAGATTCTTCATCCTTGAATGGCCAGCATGAGCGAATAGAGTAATACTTTTCTCAAAGCTCTATTTTTTAAGAATGATTTGCTCCACATCTAGTATCTATTTGATGGATTTTGGAAACTCCGGATTGCCTACATATTACGTTATAGCAATATTTTTCATCCTTCCATTGGCAGCTTGTGTAGACTGCAAACAGATTAGCGGCTAGTGAGGCAAGGATGAAAATATCGAACATAGGTAGACAAGAATTCCCTAGTGATTTACAGTTTCCCTCTCGATAAACCTGGCATTTGAATATTTCATTTAGAGGCCGATGATCTTCCGCTACTCAATATTCTGAACTGCTTCAAAAGTCCATTTTTCCCTATGTCCAAAATTCATATTTTCTTTTAAAAATTCTTGGCCATTTTGAGTTCCTTTGTGAGTATTTTTGTGTCAAATTTGACTAATGATAGATATCCTGTTCAGAACAAACACCTTTTTATTTTCTCTGATGATAAAAAACCCAGTCAAGTTTATTATTGTTCCATTGATGTTCCTCTTGAATCTTACAAGACAGAGCATGAATTCCTAGTAAGTATGATAAACTGAGCTAAATAAAAGTCAAAGTTTCAAGTTTCTCTAGTTGGTGATAAAAAAAAATGAGAAGTAGTTCTGACTTGTCTGTCATATATAATTATAGACCAGCTCAAAGCTATTGTTTTGAAAGATTATCAAGCAAAGGCGAACCGGTGCTGCTTTTGTGACAGGTCTGGTTAGTCTATGTAATGACTGAGGCTTAGTATTGGACTTCAATTCAATGAGTTGTATCGATAACCTTGTGCATAATTGGGACAATATTTCACCCGTTCTGTGAAACAAGCTGGGGCGAGGAGCTCAAGAATTTGCTAATTAGTTTGCATCCCATTTGATCCTATTGTTGTCATGGAATCGTTTTATCACATGATTGATTTGGGTCTGGCTAACTTGGCAGAGGAACTTCAAGTTTCATACCAGAGCCCAATCAAAATGATGAGGGATTTTGCAGAGGAAGAATCAGCAACAGTTGAGGGCCATCTTGCGTGCCAACCATGAAGAGGCTCATGGGCCAACTCGATTGTACTGAGGAAGTTTCGGTGGTTGTGAAGATCCAAACACCTGATTTGGTCTCAACAGCACATTCCTGAATGCTTGTTAGTGTAGTTTTCTCAATTGAATCTGCTGTCTGTATGCTCATTAGGTTCTAAGTCTCTATTAATCTAATAGGTACCTGCTGATTTTTCTGTATGTGACCTTGATGCAGAGTTGTTTGATGCAGTTGCTTTCTAATGATATCGCTCTCATGCTTTCCTCAAGACTCTTGAAACTCTGTGTTAGAGAGTTTGATAAGCCGATATCACTTAAGCTTGACGGATACAAGTACTTGGAAGAGCTTTCAACGAGAAAAGTGCGGTTCCATTGAAAGATTGGACTTTCACAATCAATTAGTCAAAAACAATTATGCTGCTGAGCATTGCAATAACCTAGTTGAAATTTAGGGCTGTGAGAATTTGGAGTTCTTGGAGGACATACTTTTATGTGACTGCAATTCCATTAAAATGCTTCTCTGTCCAGAATTGTGGTGTTTGAAGCATTTAGTGGCTAGGAGGTGCAACAATCTTGTCGAAATTCGAGGCCTTGATGGTGCGAAATTCTTAGTAAAATTGGATATCACAAGATGCATATCAATGGAGACTTTGCCAAATGTGACCGGATATGAGAAGTTATGATCTCTAGTAGTTGAAGACCGTAAGAAACTTACTCAGCTTCGGGGATTTGAAAAGTTGGATTTAATTGATTTGGATATTTCTGGTTGTGACTCATTGGAAGCAATACGGAAATTATCTGGAACACGCCTCTTTAGAAATTATGAAGAAGAGCTGTCTTGTGACTCATGGAGTGATGTTTCCTCAACAGAGGTTAATTAACAGTGAACAATCATTTTTCCATTAAGATTCATGACCTACTTTTCATCATTACCTTCTTTTGACAGGAAGGTTTTCCATGACAGGTTCTGTACTTTCCTAAATTGCTAGTCTTACATAATTGAAGGAGTGGGGGAGTTGGTCATAGAAATGCTTCAGCCAAGATCAAAATGTTGACGCAAATGTCAATAGAAGGCATTGGTCATCTAGTAAGATTCTTCATCCTTGAACGACTAGTGTGAGCGAATAGAGTAATACTTTTCTTGAAGCTCTATTTTTTAAGAATGATTTGCTCCACACCGGGTATCTATTTGATTGATTTTGGAAACTCCATATTTGCCTACATATTACGTTATAGCAATGTTTTTCATTTGTCCCTCCATTGGCAGCTTTTGTAGACTGCAAACTGATTAGCTGCTTGTGAGGCAAGGATGAAAATATCAAACATAGGCAAACAAGAATTCCCTAGTTATTTACAGTTCCCCCCTCATTAAACCTGGATTTGAAATTTTCACCTAGAGCCCGATGATTTTCTACTACTCAATATTGTAAACTACGCCCAGATTTTCTCTGTCCAAAATTCATGTTTTCTTTGAAAAAATCCTTGGCCATTTTGAGTTCCTTTGTGAGTTTGCTTGTGTCAAATTCAACTAATGGTAGATGTTCTGTTTGGGACAAACGGCTTTCGGTTTTTCGTGATGAACGAAAACCCTTTCAAATTTCTTATTGTTAAGAGCATCAATTCCCCAGTAAGTATGATGAACTGAGCTAAAATAAAATATAAGGTTCAAGTATTTCTAGTTGCTGATAAAAATGTTTCTGTCATATATGAATGTACACCCCCTTAACATTACGAGTAGTCAAATTGTTGTTTTGAAATATTATCAAGCAAGGTAAACTAATGCTGCTTCTATAACATTACGGTTTTTTTTATAAAAAAAATCGGCTTTTATAAATATATACGACCATCACATACGGGTTGTCTCATTTCCTATTTTTTGAATGCTGGAGATCAATGAATGAAACAACGAGTCAGACGAACATAATATCGGAAAGATCGAACATTATGCCACTCTTTTGAATATTTGATTACCATTAGATACATATAAAGATGAACACCCAAAAAACACAACAAACCTCTCTGTTTCCTCTTGACAGATCTCACTTTTTTTCTCTCTTGATGGCAATGAACACAATATTCCGTAATTTCTACTAATTAGAATCGGCGTGTGATGCTCGAGCATTTGCGCTTCAACCATCGGAACCCTTGTTTGAGAGAAGCCTTGAACTTGCCTTCGACGGAATAAAGCTTGTATCTGGCCACCCTCCTCTTCCTCTTCTTCTCCGGATCGTTCCGACTTCTTCACTTTGTATACTTTGTGTGGGGGCGAAGCGGGTTCGAGCATGCGAGGCTGGGATTTGGCTACGTACATCGGGTTTTGGTTAAGAGCTTGGATTGTCATGATCTCTAAAGTCCGGCCAACTCCATGGGATCGGTAGCTCGGCGACCACGGGTCCATCTGTGTCCTCGATCTCTCTCTCTCTCCCGGCCCTCCCTCGTGGCCTCTCCCCTCTCTGGGATGAGAAGGATTTTTTTTTTCGGAGAGAGAGAGAGAGAGAGAGAGAGAGAGAGAGAGAGAGAGAGAGAGAGAGAGAGAGAGAGAGAGAGAGAGAGAGAGAAGAGGGCTCTCTCTAATGTTCTCAGATGGAGGTGACAGCAAACATAGAGGTGCTTTTTTCGGTTGGGGATGGAGACTTTCATGTAAGAGAGAGAGGCGACCAGGATTTGGACCTTCTATTTTTAACATTGAGATATAAATCCATGCAATTTTTTTCTTTCTTTTGAAATTACGATGATGCTTTTCTCTTGTTAAGTGAAGTTAGAGGTTACATGCAATGTGACAGAAGGTTTCTGTGTCTTTGATATTAACCCGTGATGCTGCTGTAATCGGCTTCAGAGGCGAGACGAATTCGTCCCAAACCTACATTCGCGGGGTTTGTCGGGTGGTTGAAATTTCGATTATTCAAAAATCAAAGAAAGATCCGCAACAATACTCATCTTAAATCAATGATAATGATACAAGACCACCAAATCCAAAAGGAAATTAACGTGATCATGCACATACCAAAATTGCGGTTATGTTTGGTTTCGCTTGTCCCTCTTTTTGGTTCTTCTCATTGCCAAATATAGCACGCTATGTTTCCCCAGAAATCGCTTAGCTAGAGATCTGCAAAGCGAATGATAGGCACGGCGAAGGCAACTTACAGTGCAAGGGAGAACATTGCAATGTCTGCATAGATGGCTGCTCATTTTGGTGAATGACTCACCAATACTATTTAGCTCCTGTCCAGTATATACACTCTTAGCCAAGGAAATTCAAGAGTAACTTCGTGTTGGGGAACCGTGGGAAACCAGAACTCAAAAGCATAGAGTGTGGCCGTGGTCAGGTTTCGACCAAGGAGCTTTCTGAAGCACCAAAATTCTCTTAAGAAAAAGCGACCCAGCACAAGAAGACGGAACTGAAGCTCTCATTGGCAATGAATTTTTCCCATATGCACATCAGAATTGTTAATTGGATCACTAAGTAATGATGTCTAGTCTTTACATGCAAAAGCTATTTACATAAGAAAAACCGCCCCTGACAGCAATAGCTCCGGCAGTTCATGAATTGATTGTCGAGCTAGTCAATCTCCACTCTGCACTTTGTTCTATTCCGAACATTCTTTTTGGTCGTCTTGGCATTATCCATGTGCGAAATCTGCAACAACTGTTAATGGTCAAACAAATTGCACAAAAGTTAAAAAGAATATCATACTTTTCACTTCAGCTTTTCTTATAGGAGAGTTAAGGAAACCAATAGGTGCTATTCACTTACTATAGAAGACTTCCATTCAATTTTGTCATTACCATCTGCAGTAGCCTACTGAGATCGGTCCCGTACATGATGAAATATGTGCACAAGAACAGCAGCATCAAGAGCGGCATATTCCAGCTGCAAACATTGCAATTGCTCAAGTTAAATCAAAGGACTTCTGCTCTAATCATATTTTGGAAACATCAATGGTTACCTTTCTCCTTTCTTCTCTGCGCTGTGTTTGCTCCTTAATATACGTTTATGGTTCTTTCCCTATCTTGGGGTTTAAAGAGGGGATGACATTTGTAAAAAATAGGAAAAATTCTACTTTTCTTGCACGTATTTTCATGTCTTTTCCAATCAAGTCCCTTAATGAAATCCCTCCGACATCAAATCCAATTAAGTCCAGCTGACGTGACCGTTGAACGACGTCATGCCATGACAGGGATAAAAATTTTCTGTCAATGTGGATTGACGGAAATTATCCACATCATACTTACATGTTGTCTACAATATCTAATTCTCTTCACACATGTCAATTTGGGTATCTGCATATTAACATCACACTTTGGCACATCCGCCGTTTGCTGAATTTGGTCAAATTTGGTGTCGGAGGGACTTGATTAAAAATTCAGCAAAAGTAGGACTTGATAAGATAAATTAAAAGAACTCGATTAGAAAAAGCGTGAAAGTATAAAGATGAAAAATAATTTTTTTCCTAAAATAAATCAGCAGTTACGTTGTTTTAAATAGACGCCAGAAGAACTTTTGTTGCACTAAAGATCTCGAGAAATCGCTTAAGCAAATGCCAAAATCATGTCTGCTGACCCTACACTCTTGAAAGTTCAGAGCATTAAGATTTACATGGAAGTGTCTCCATGAAGTTCCGCATACTGACATCATTCTTACAGATGCATTCCGCACAATAATATGCTCTCCCAACCATTTGAGTTCTGATATTAAATTGTGTGATTCTTCCTGTAATTTCCATTCTGAGGAAATAATATAAAAAAAAACAGAAGAAAATGTAAAATAACCTGATTTTGACTCAAAGGTCGTTGCTCCCAGTCGCTATTCCTTCTTGTCTTGTTCAAACCAGCACCAAGTATTTCCTAGTTAGACCCAAGAAATAAAGATAAAACTAATTACTTCAGAGCTAAAGGTGATCTCAAAGGCATGCATCAGGATCCCAACATGAGTTCTGAGCAAGAAGAAATTGTGTTCCTCCCTTTTCACCCTCTCTTGGTAAGCAAGACAGCAATACAAGATATGAGATGCAAGTCACATTTTACCTCAGCAAGCCCCGAGAGACCACCACTGGATTCTTTAAATACATCCTGAATGTCCAACAGCATTTCAAAATGGTTAAAACACCCCAATGTTTCATAGGAGCTGGTGAGTTGCTTCGTATCACACTGAAAATTATAGCCTGCATAGAGCAGGAACATCAGGAAATTCTGTGGAAAGCTATTCACTTCAGCAAAACAAACACACTGAAACAACCAATGCCGGTCACCCTTAGTCATATCAGTACCAAACATGCACAAATAATTATTCCTTGTCCAAACTCTTACTTTGTGATACCCTATGTACGTCTGGTACCAGAAATTCCAAATTCTTACGTCAGTACAATGATTTTCTTTTTCCTAGATTAGTAGACACATATTGGTGATACCAAATTAAGGCTGATGTTTGGACCAAGAAGCAAAGGAGAGAATACAATTACGCTAAATAATTTCTCATACCAAGCTTTAGAATACTTGGAGACTGTAAAATACGACTCAGGCAGTTATCCAGAATATGTGGCACATCCCCTGACAATTTTATGAGATCAAAGATGAAAACACTTCTGCTGGAAGCGATCTGCATGATGGACAACTGAAAATCAAAATAAACATCGGACTTAATTGATTTCTGACATTAATGGATGACCTTTTAAGATATTCGCTCTGACAGAGAGGTCAGAGTGGAACCAGCCAATCGCAAAGGTGGCAACAAGTCATGACAATTGACACAAAGTCGCCAAACTGAGACTTGACGGCGCCTTGATCTTCTTTACCAAATTGCAGCTACAACTTGCTCAACCAAAACCTCTGAATTACCTCAGCAGAGCAAGCAGCTGCTGTAATTTGGCTGAAAAGACCAAGTCATTGCTTAGAGCCAAATTACACACTTGGTCCATTCACAGAGAGAGAGACAGACAGACAGACAGACAGAGCTAAGTCGACAGCAGTAGGGACATTGATTGGTGAGACTAGCCATGCCAATGGCGACCACATACAAGATGGTGAGAAGCGGTGACAAAACCATCTTCTTCTTGTATTGCCACCTCCTCACTGTAGTCCTATACAATCTACATCAGCCTTTATCTGATTTGATCCAATCTGATAGTGGTCACCACATGTCAAATCAGATATAGATACTCTCTACCATTTTACGCGGATCTTCCAAATGCAACCTTCAAACAGGTTCTACTTCTGGCCAAGCATATCCCTCATCGTATTTCCCAAAAGGAAGCGCACTATATAACAAGTAAAGCACATCTGAAATCATCTTAAAAGTTTTTTTCTCATCATGTCATTGTTGAATATCATGCTTCATAGTTGTTTTCATGGCCGTTGAAATATAAGAAAGATAGTGGCGATCACCAAAAGTTTGATGATAACTCTTGATCGTTAAACCATTTAATTTCTTTTATGGCAACAATGAATTTGTTTAAGGCACAGAGATAATTTTCAGCGAGTATATAAAACCTCCAAGAGATTATGCATAGGAAGATGAGGTCAGACAGGACCTAGCAATTACCTTGTTAGGCTTGCTGCCCTTTACATAATTCGGTTTCCATTCACAGTCCATACCAACAACTTTAGATTCTTCAATATAACATGTTGCCGTATGCAAACTATCCACTTGATCAACCCAAAAAACATCTTCAATGCCCAGTTCTTTGAGGCACAAATAGTGCTTACGATGCAGAAGAGTTGCATCAAATTCTAAACAAGCCAACGGTTATAAATTAGCATTTTAGAAAAAGAGAATGCAACATCACTACGAAAATCCTACTACTATACTCCACAACATGAGATCACCAAGGACTAAATACCTAGGCATAGCATACTTACACCATACTGATGATAGTGCAACAGAATACAGGTTTATCAGAGAAGTTCAATACCCAACACATACGAAGGTCCACTAAAAACTTTTCAAGATCAACATAATATGGCAAGCAATTGATTCTAGATCATCAGGCACAAGCAGAACTATTCTTTTCCTCAATCATGGAGAACTAGAGACCTAATTGCAGATGCAACTGTCAGTTTCAAGATATCAAATAATTCAGCAGATTTTCAAGACATAATGACTTCAGCACTTCCCGAGATACAACTCAAACCAAGATTTACAAGTTATAGCAACAAGAGAACGTCAGCAAACATCCATTCGGTAAACCGAATAACAATATACTGGCCATAAGAATCCCAAAAGTTTGCCACATTCTCTGACAAAATCCAAGCAATGTAATGATAAAGATATGCACATGAGAAGGCATATTCAAACAAAGATAGCCATCTACGCTGATCAACGCAATTGCCCTATACTTAACTCACTAGATAAGCATGCCAACACCTTGTCAACTGTGCCAATAATATCTTATGCATAGTCCAAGTACCTTATGCAAACAAAGCAGGAAGAATCCTGGTCTAGGGTTCCCAGTAGCCTACTTGAGGCGTCTAGTTGGATTCTAGTAGCACAATAGAGGTTCCAATCACAGCAGTGACTGACAAAAAGTTAACTGTTTCAGCAAAACTAGTGCAACAACATAGTTTTCTAAACTTATAGGTTGGAGAAGAGAAGTTACAGCAATATGATTTTCTACTATATCGGCAAACAAAAAGAAGTTGGCACACCTTTGGCTTTTGGAAAACCTTGAAGAGAGTATCGATCACACAATTCATCAATTTTTTCCGAGTAACCAGCTTCCATTGCCAAATAGACCTTTAAAGTGGAAGAGTAAAATCTTAATAGAACGAGCAAAAGCACACAAAGTCTCCATTCTTTATATGTCTAGAAGAACGACAACTACAAGCTGGTAATTTGTTATTTCGAAACTTAAACACCACCTTCGGGGAAAAAGCAAAGGAAAGGAGGAAAAAACAACAGTAAAAGGACAAATGTTCATCACAAAGGAGGAGTTGGCACCACAGAATTTCTTGCTCAAGCCACAAGGTGTCATTTATGTATGCAGCTCAAATGCTCTAGTTACATCAGAAGACATACTTATGACTATAAAATTAATCACATTTCTCTATGAAAGAACCAAGAACCATTATACATTGCACCAAAGTCCAATAGCAGGAGATGAAGCGTGCAATTACTGAAAAAGTTCTGCCAATACCCCTTCCTGAGAATAACAGGACTGATAAGACTATTTGAGGAACCCCTGTAGAAGGCCAAACTGCCAACCTCAAAAGATTGATGCAATTCTACTAAGGTTGCAACTTAAAAGAGTGCAAATTCAAGTTCATCTAAAGAAAGACACCACAGTTGGAACAAAGCATTTTAGACTAATACCAGGTATTCAATGAACTGTTTATCACCCTTTGCCTTTGACTCAGCAACATCCCAGCATCCTTTTTCTGCTAGCTGCTTCATTGAACTACAAAAGAATAAATTAGTCTTGCTGTTCTCGATACAATGGCTGCAGTAAGAAATTTGGATTTCCATGCACTATCAGCAACATAATAAATAAATCTTTAGCAAAAGTTACTTCCAAACAATTTTAACAGCAAAGAAATACCTTTCTTTACATTGATGATATACATCAGCAAATTCTTGCCGGAGATTGTTTTTCTTTATTGTCACATAAGCATACTTCAGCATTTTTCTGTCTACATATTCCTGGACAAGTACACATAACATTGGCTTGCCCATAAATGTGGCCCACTTCTCTGCAGCCCTAAATTCTTTCTTTTCCATCATAACAAGAAGGAAGGATTTCCCAGATTGGCGAATAGAAAAGTGCTCCAATAGAGTGACTGCTGTCATATAGGACTGAAACTCTATCAACTTGAAAATATATTGCTCAAGAAATGTTAGGGCAGTGATTGGTCTAAAGTTAATGTTTGTAACTTTAAGTTGGCATATGACGTTCTCAAGGTCTGTCACTCTCACGTCAAACACTTCTACTACCTTCACAAGTATCCTCTCATCATGATTTACATATCCCTGAACCATATCAACAAATAAATGTGCAGCTAAGTCCTTTACTTGCAAGGAGTCCGCAAGGTTAGCTTTCAGAAAACGACGGAGAGAAGATATTATCAAGTGACTGAATCCCTCACAGTGAATGTCAAATATGGGTAGTGCATATAGACAGTGTATGACAAAAGTAGCGGGTCCAGGTCGGGGCCCATTATTTAATACTTGATGAACTTGATGTTGAAGTACCCCGAACTTTCTAGTTGCCTTCAAGGTACCTAAACATTGAAACAAAAGGCAATATGTCTAAGAAAGGAAGTCCAGATAGCCATAAACCAAGTGGATTCCAAGCATCTATGAAAAGACTTGAAGGATAGCAACATCCAGTAAATGACCAATTATTCCTCATCAAAAAGTGTAATGTTCTGTGCAGCGTGACAGTAGTCGTAAATACTGAGATGCACTATGTACTGCATGTGTGTCTCTCTAATTGTTGAGATCTGAGGACGAACGTCTTACATGGTTCAAAAATTCAGTTTGTTCTTAAAAGAAGAGGAGCATCTAAAGAAGAGCCTCATCTTTTGAAGAGAAGTTAAAGAAAAAGTTGACGTATAACCAGAAGATGCAGGCAAGTCAATCATCCAATGCACATAGCAGCCATTTCCTCACATATACTGCATATGATGTGAACCATTAAGGGAAACTGGAAAGTAAACGTGGAAAGAGACTTTTGAAGGGGAAAGCATTGTTATACCAGAAACTGGAAAGTAAATGTGGGATAAATCAGACAGAGAGTGAAGAGATAGGGTCCATGATTCATGAGTTTCTTCTTCCGGCTGTTTGACAATTTTGTCGTCCCATCCCATGGAAGCAGAACTGTCCCACAAAGAATAAAAACATTAGTTTAGAGATAACAAGCATCATAAAGAATCCTGTTTATCATCCATACAGAACGACAAAGCAGCCAGAACCAAAAATGACACGCTCCAAGTACTCTCAGAAACATTCAACAAAAAAAGTTGCTCTCAATTCTCCAAAAAAAGAAACTTCATCTGAGGGTTCATTTCTATGCACCAAGACCAAAGAGCCAGAATTCAACCAAGTTATAGAGAAAGAAAAGCGAAGAACCCAATTTAGCAATTGGATTGGAAGTCCTCTGCGATTGAACCAAGGTGGGAAAGTGCAAGCAGGCTTTGAGGAACTTAGGGAGAACTAGGAGAAAAAGCTGTAAAAACTGTCCAAGCTTAGGGCATATTGGGAATGACTTCTACATTTTTATTTTTGCTTAATCTAAATATTGCAGCTCACCCACTTTAACTTTTTATAAATTCAAAACTTATGAAACTTTCACAAAACTCAAATGTCGACACGTAGATTCACATACAACTTTTTCATAATTTTCTCAAATTTGAATAGTATTTCACGTTTTGGCGGGAAACTAGAAAAGTACCTTTTTTTTTTAATTAGGTACAAACAAACATGCCCTTAAGAAGTTCGATTAAAGTTATCATACTCATGCCATTATTTGGTTAAAACTAGCCAACCTATAGCGAGAACCGTGGAAAAAAAAAATCAGATTACCTCATGCGCTCGGGATCACTGCACCAGACGACACAAAGAACAATTGTCGGGAGTACACAAGCACAACAAATGACACACAATAACTTGTCGAACATTTCACAACCTTATCGACCGAATTGATTTTAAGTTGGAAAATTGTGAATCCACCGGATAATTGGATGAACGAGTCGAACCAATAGAACCAATTCGGTTCTTGTCACGGGTTTTTCCCTTTTTCTTCTACTTCGATTTCATGCTAGCGACTTGCTTCGAGCTTGTTTTCGAAAGTTCTATCACATTTTACATCAAGCTCCTATAAATTAACAGCCATTCGACCAACAACTACGTAAGTTTCGAAAGGACAGAGGAGGTTTCACTTCATTTTTCTGGATTTCCTCAATTTTGTAACTCCGAGCTCGACGGGACGGTATTAAAAATATGAAAAACATCCTCAAACCAAAATGGAACTATGGAAAGCCTTTCGGTTTATTTAACAACCGCGCACAGCATTTTTAGATTATATAGCTTCGGTAGCATAATCGTATGGCAACAAAGAGGAACTGAAATAGACGAGTTGAGGAAATTAGGGTTGGTTAAAGAATCCCAGAAACGAGGCTTAAACAAACATTTGGCCAAGACAAAGTCCTAAAAACAACAAAATCGACCCGAAATACATCGCAACGTCAATCCTACAAACACAAGTATTCATCTGACTTTGCAATCAGCATCAACTTTATTTAGGAAAATTTGAAGTGGAGAACGGATCAGGCAATCTTAATCACAGCATCATGAACTAAAATTTGAATCAGCTCCGTTCCCATTCAAATCCAAAGTATACTATTATTCCAGAGCCATCATCATCAACAGATGACACAATTTTCTCTACCTCCAAGCCCTGCTCCTCCGTGGAATTTCAACCTGCTCAAGCAATTCGGTCGATCAATCGATGATGCCCGAGTCGGAATCGAATCGATCCGCAGTCTCTCTCTTTCAAGAGAGAGAGCACACACTCGAGATTCACGCACGAACATAACAATAGCACACGCCCAAGCAAAAACAAAATCACGAATTTTCACGCAAGCTACTCAAGATTTGCGCTTACCTCCTGCCGAACGCAGTAATAAAATTGCAACGAGCGACACTGAGCTACGCATTGAGTTTATCGACACTAGGATTTGAGCCGGCATTGCAAGCGAGACGTGCGCGGAAACAGGAAAACCACCGAGAGTCGCCCGTCTCAAGCTATGGAATTGCTTGGTGAACTTCACGCTGATGAGAATGTACAAATGTGGAATATCCCATGACTTGCATCAAAGTCACCATGAACTTGTTTTTTTTCCTCTTAGGGGACCTAAGTCACCATATCCAATTTGATCTCTCTAACAATGTGCAATCACGCGCATGTACCACATGCAGCATGTGGCATGGTCCAGGCTCAAAGCACACTAAGAAACCAATTAGTGAAACTTAAAAATTAGAAGAAAAGAAGATTGGTCGAGTAATTGTCAGCATGTCAGCTTGATTATAAACTAAAAAATAGGCAAAGGCCCATGGTCCATTTCAACTTACAACATCAGGTTTATCTATTCCCATCCCAAAAGCAAGGGTGGCACATACAACCCGGACCTCTCCAGTATGCCATTTCTTTTGAACAGCTACTCTTTGACAGGCTGCTAATCCAGCATGATAGTACACCGTCTTTACACCGCACTTATCATTCAAGTATTTTGCAACATCAACACATTCACTCTTTGAGAGGCAATATACTATGACACAAAAAAATTAGCAAACCGGTTCTTTAGCAGCTATCCAAGCTGCTTCAGTGGTTCCTTGGTTATAGCTATGACCTCATACTATAGGTTTGGTCTTCAAAGCTTGTCTCAAAAACAAAAGCATGGGGCATCCTGAGAGCTTTTAGGATATCCTGCTATGGATGCACATTTCAATCGGTCCCAAATGATTATTTCAACAAAATCTGGAGGTTAATGTGCAAGTTTCGTACCTCACGAACTGGCTGAGTGGCAGTTCCAGTTGAGGCCATCACTAAAACGTATGGAAAGTTTTGCTTGAGACATCCCAGTCCCCTATAATCTGGACGAAAATCATGTCCCCATTGACTGCAATAATGACAACAAAGAAAGTAACAATCAATAAGCTTTGCTCATTTACAATCATTCAAATATACGAGAAAAGCTCAAAGCAGCAGCTCGTTCCTTTCATGAGATGGCACTGGCAGTGCAAATCCAGTAAAAACCTCATAACAAATACAATCAATGATCACATAGGGGAACTTTTTCCTTAAATCTCAAGTTGTTAATATATAGTATAAAGGTTAAAAAAATATATAGGGACATAAGAACCAGCTTAAAAGACCTGACTATCATGCCAAACATCGACACTTCCAATTACTTCCGAAAGTAACTTCTGTTGGAGTTTATTTTAGTTGTGTGCATTTTGCTTAATATGATTAACGATGTGCCATTGACTTTTCCCGAAAGAAGGAACTTGATCATTTCCAGAATTAGTTATTTCAACATTGCATTCTGTTATACTAGAACTTCACAGGTCTGGGTTTCAGAAGATTCAGTGTAACACCGACAATGTAATTAGGCTAGAAACACAGAAAATGCAAAAACGTTCGAAGAAAAGAGTTCGAGTGAGCATATATAAAAGTTAACTTGCTTTTCTTTATCTGGAACAAGGACAGTAGTTTTGCAGTGGCAACATCATAAATACTAATTACTTTTGAAGTAACTCTAGCATGATCTTTGCTTCAGATACAAGGATGCCAAAAAGCATACCTCACACAATGTGCCTCATCAACAACAAAACCAGCAAGTTGTCCTGCAATGCGTGATGGTCGAGTACCAAAAAATTAAAAAGAAACTTTCAGAAAAAGTTACAGTGAATCAGAAATAGTAACTTTCTATGCAAGCATTTTAATATCTCAAGAAATGATGGGTTTCCCACAATCCTTTCAGGAGTTACATACAATAGCTTGCACTATGGTTTATCTTTCCTGAAAAGATAGGCAAAGCAGTGGAGATTAATGACTTGACAATCACAACACTCAGCCAAAAAAAGTTTTAGAAGTCCAATAGAAACCCCATTGCAACAAATGGAGCATAGCCCAACATTTTATGGCGGGATAAAGATTGTATGGTATGTTTACTTCTCTAGGAACACTAAGATCCTAAATTTTTTTTTAAGACAAACATCTTAGGCATGAATCTTTTCATTAACTACATAAAAAATGTGCATCCATCGCAACATTTAGAGCATAGCCATTTTATGGCGAAATAAAGATTATATGGTATGATTTACTTCTCTAGGAACACAGAGAGAGAGAGAGAGAGAGAGAGAGAGAGAGAGAGTGAGACCGAGAGAGCTAAACCTTGCCTTAGTTCTTGGAGGGCAGCCACTGCTTGGGCAGCAGTTTGCTGAGAGTTCAAGAAAGTAGACGGTATTCCGTACTTGAGGGTTAGAGTAATTATTTGATCCTGGATGAGAGATAGCAGGGGAGATATAACAACTGTGACACCTGGTTTAAGAGTTGCCGGCAGCTGAAACGAAGGGTAAACACATCAGAAGAGCACATGAAGAAAGGAAGGGATGAGGGAATTATTCTTTTATTCACCTTCAGCTAATCAGAAAGCACCAGTTGTCACTATTTGTCTTATAATTACTTCAGCCAGATACATATATCAACTACTTCAAGACTGAACAGAAAGCACTTCAGGATAATTCAACTTAATCATTTCAGATTAATATCTTCCTTGTGATTCAGTAGATCAATTCAGATTTATATGAAAGGACATCAATTTCAAACCAATTATGGGCAATGATCACCCCTAGTTGAGAAGATGACATAGCGTATACCTGCATAGGAAATATAGACATCTATGATCTGTATTTGGTGCAAGTAATTTGAAAACTTTTTCCTCTTTGTCTTAATAACCCTTTAGAATTGGACCTGAACTATGACCGACAACACTTCTTACATGCAAAAACAAGATAAATTTTCTAGTAAGTAGAAGGTCCTAGAAGCATAGCGCAAACGTCAAATTCTAGAAATTACAGAATCGATAGAGATGTGCTAAGGCAGAACGAGAATGTCCTGTATTCCCTTCTTTTCCAACTTAGTCTGATCCCATTCATTGGAACCCGTGGTTATGTACCTGAATCACTTCCTATCGCTTAATTTGCATTTGGAAAACATTTTCTTCCTTAAGTTTAAGCACAAGCTTCTCAACAGTGCTAACAAAGCAGATTACAAGATCATTTTTTTAGCTTAAATATCGATATACAGGACAACCCGTCTAGTATTTAATTGGTGGAACCATTGAGCAAAGTGCACAGGGGTTGTGCTCTAAACATTGTCTCCACACATAATTCTAGATACGATCATTACACAAATGAAATAATGTAAGCATTCACTAACCTGGTAACATAAACTTTTATTACCTCCAGTGGGCATGAGAATGAAGCAATCTTGCTTGGCGACAGAAGCTTTACAAGCCTGATGGTGCAGTGGTCAAAATGCCTTGTTTATGAATATTACAACATTTGCCAATTCTATGTCATCCAAGGCTTGCAATTCCTCAAAACTCAGAGTCCCTTGTTTGCATGTCGAAATCCGAGAGCAATGTCTTTTATTTGAAACTGACAATATTGAACCTTGAGTGACAGTGCTCTTACAGTCCTTCAACAGAAATAAGCCTCTTCAGCACTGAAATAGCTTCTGGCATGAATTGTCATGGAAAGTGAAAAATGTGCACAAAGAAAGCACAAGCCTTCATTTACGCAAAACATTCCTATCAAAGACGCTGGATTGCTAAGTTCCACACTTTGATGATCTTCTATACTCTCAAAGTACTTGAGAAATATAGGTATTTGTACATCGGCCAAAACTAAAATCAACCTTTTTATTGATCGAAGAGTTCTAATAGGTCATTTTGGATCTTGAAGACCGTGGAAGTGATTGGCAAAATTTAGGAGTGTCTATTGGTTATTTGATTGGATGAGGCCTCATAAGCAATTTACTAAGTGCTTTTGTACATATGCATTGTGTAGGTCCTTTGCTGTGTGCAGAATCACAAGCAAATTGGAATCAATCAAGGAGACACTAAATTATAAGAGAAAAGAATAGTGACACGCTGATTTAAGTGGTTTGGCAGTATTGTCTATGTCCATGGGAGAAGCATACCATGGATTGCAAAGATCATCTGGCCAGAAGTTGAGTGGATGAATTGCTTGCAGTACTGCTTTGGTTAGGAATATAGCAAGTGGATTTCCTACCCATTTTACTGCCAAATATATTGTCTTCGTCTTCACTGTCAGTAGAGGAATCCACCTCAAGAAAAGTTGTAATATATTCATGAATATATTCACGCAATCAGAATCGTGCTGATTCCAACCATCCTTTTGAGTACAAAGCATTGGCCGCAATTCTCATGAATATATTCATGCAATCATTACCATGAGTTGTTGTAATGCAAATACAACAAAGAAGCAACTGTTTACGTGCCTAACTTCAGATGCGGTCATGATATGGATTCATCGATTGTATCTTGAGGTATACTACTTGAAAATTTGAATCTGCAAGTAAACTAACTTCAGATGCGGTCATGATATGGATTCATCCCTACTTCAAAACAGGAAAGAAGAAGAAAGGCAACATGTGCTTGTATAATTGGATTTCATTGTTAATCTCCACTGAACTGAAACAAGTAACTTTTTCTTCCTCAGTCAAGACCGGACAGCGTGTTCCCATATGCCTCTCCGGCTTATATCTCGACCCACATTTACTTTGCCCTCACGAAAATAATTAGTTCCAGACAAGGAACATGGCAACAGATGAAAGAAAAAGACAAACATGAGATGACAAGACCATCACAACTGAAGAATTATGTGTCCTTAGTTAAGGACCTTCGCCCCTCCATTACCATGTGGTCTTCCAATAATTGCAGATGATGGAACCAGAACTGTGTAGCTCAAGATCATGCGTAAGTCGGTACCTGTCGCCCATCAAGAGAGTTGACACCTGAAAGTTTTACCTTTATGAAGAGGTTTTGAGACAATTGTCGCAACGATTAGAACCGTATTTACAGTCTTTCTGATCCAAAGACTTGCCAAAGTGTGCAAGTAAGGTTTGCCGCCAACACTCATCCTGAAAATTTCGCAAATTCGTGTGGAAACACACGTTTATCAATAGACTTTGCTTCATTCAGGTACATGGAATATGAGTTTAGCCCAAAGGTTCCATTATGATTTGAACATGTTGCCAACAGACCCATCTAATGATCCAGCACCCAGACTGGTTAATGCCAGACTAATCAATAGAACAAAGTGGAAAGTGGAAACACAAAATAGAAGCATCACTTCGTTGAGATCATTAGAGAGAAGTTGAGAACACAAATTGGATTACCTTGAGTTCACAATATTGCTGCATTTTCCTAGCTTGAGCCATTGCAGTTTTAAAGATTTCAGTTTTACATTATTGCCACTCCTTAACATGCACACAACCCTGCTGAAATCCTTTTTGGCATATAGAGCAATGCATACTGCCAGTAGATTATCTCTTCCTGCCCTTCTAATTCTTGATAATAGCTTTCAATTGACTTGGATATTATGTTGTGGATGACAAAACGCTGATCACATGCCATAAAAAAATAATTGCTGAACAAACAAAAACAAGTCGAAATATGACAAAAATATCATAACTGAAGGTCAAGTTAAATCAGAATCATTTGCCTCTTTTACAGTAAAGAAAAGAACTTTAACCAAATCTAACTTTATTACAGCACAGCAAAGTTCCATGCATGGTAGAAAGAATTTGACTTGAACCAATGCATAATTTAATAGTTTCTGCAATCAATAGCCAAGAATGACAAAATTTGGTAGGTCACTGGACCATGGAACCAGCAAAGTGTACTTTCAAGCACACTATGAAACCCATCAGCAAAGCTAAAACAAAAGAAGAAAAGTTAATTAGCCGAGTATTTGCCAGCATGTCAGCTTGATTCTAAAACATAAAAAAAAGGCAGAAGCCAGAGTCCATTTCGACTTATAACATCAGGTTTGTCTATTCCCATCCCAAAGCCAATGGTAGCACATACAATCTGGACCTATCCAATATGCCATTTCTTTTAAACAGCTACTCTTTGACAGGCTGCTAATCCAGCATGATAGTACACCGTCTTTATACAGCACTTCTCATTCAAGTATTTTGCGGCATCAACACATTCACTCTTTGAAAGGCAATATATTATGCCACAAAAATTAGCAAAACGATTCTTTAGCAGCTCTCCAAGCTGCTTCAGTGGTTCCTTGGTCTTAGCTATGACCTCATATTTGAGATTTGGTCTGTCAAAGCTTGTCTCAAGAAGAAGAGTATGGGGAACCCCAAGAGCTTTTAGGATATCATGCAATGGATGTATAATTCAATCACAGCAAACAGATTATTTCAAGATAATCAGGAGGTTAATGTGTAAGTTTAGTACCTCACAGACTGACTGAGTGGCAGTTGCAGTTAAGGCCATCACTGGGACATACGGAAAGTTCTGCTTAAGACATTCCAGTCCCCTATAATCTGGACGAAAATCATGTCCCCATTGACGACAATAATGACAACCACAAAAGTGACAACCAATGAGCTTTACTTGTTAATCAGTAGAATGTACAAGAAAAGCTCAAACCAGCAGTGCGTTCCTTTAATGAGATCAAACTGGCAGAGCAATCAATGATAACACAGGTGAACCTTTGCCTTTCTCAAGTTGTTAAAATAAAGTATGAGCATTAAAAGATTAAATAGGGACGCAAGAATCAGCTTAAGAGACTGTGTATCATGCCAAACATAGACAGGAGATTGGATCCTTATCCAAGCTTATGCCGATTCCAATTACTTTAGGAAGTAATTTCCATTGGAACCTATTTAAGTTGTGTGCTCTTTACTCAATATAATGAACGATGTGCCACTAAGTGTTCCTAAACAACGGACCCTAGATCTTTTCCAAAGTTTAAACAAGGAACACTGCATTCTGTTATATTAGAACTTCACACGGGTCTGGGCCTCGAAAGGTCTAGAGTAACACTGACAATTTAATTAGGCTAGAAACAAAGAAAATGCAAAAAAGTTCGGATAAAGAGTTTTAGAATATATTAAAGTTAACTTGCTTATATTTATCAGGAACAAGGACAATAGTTTTGCAGTGGCAACATCACAAATAATTATTCCTTTTGAAGTAACTCTAGCATGATCTTTCTTCATGTACAAGGGATGCCAAAGATTACGCATACCTCACGCAATGAGCCTCATCAACAACAAAACCAGCTAGTTATGCCTGCAATGCATGATGGTCGAAAATAAAAAGTTTACAAAGAACCTTTTAGAAAAAGTTATGGTGCATCAGAAACAATACCTTTCTATGCAAGCATTTCAATATCTCAAGAAATGATGGGTTTCCCACAATCCTTTCAGGAGTTTCATACAATGCTTGCATGATGGGTTATCTTTTTCGAAAAGGCAGGCAAAGCAGAAGTGGAGATTAATAATTTGACAGTCACAACACTCAGCATCAATCACAAGCCTTCGTTTACACAAAACATTCCTTTCAATGACGCTGGATTGCTAAGTTCCACACTTTGATGATCTGCTATACTCTCAAAGTATTTGAGAAAATAGGTATTTGTACATCATCCAAAACTAAAATCAACTTCTTTATTGACCAAAGAGTTCCAATATGTTATTTTTTCTTGAAGATAGTGGAAGTAATTGGAAAAAGTTGGGAGTGTCAATTTGACATTTGATTGGATGAGAGGCCTCATAAGCAACTTACAAAATGCTTTTGTACATGTACATTGTGTAAGTCCTTTGCTGTGTGCAGAATCACAAGCAAATTGCAAATGATCAAGGAGATAATAAATTATATGCGAAAATAACAGTGACACAGTGATTTAAGTGGTTTGGCATGTATTGTCTATGTCCATGGGAGAAGCATACCATGGATTGCAAAGATCGTCTGGCCAGAAGTTGAGTGGATGAAGTGTTCACAGTACTGCTTTGGTCAGCAATATAGCATGTGGATTTCCTACCCATTTTACTGCCAAATATATTGTCTTCGTCTTCACTGTCAGTAGAGGAATCCACCTCAAGAAAAGTTTGATTTTTCTCAGGTTGTGAAGAATCTTCTATAATATTAACATCATGCACAACATTGCATTCGCCGTCGTTAGGGATATCTTGGCCAAACATATTAGCCAAAACTCCACAAGCTTCTGATTCCACAGGTTGCAAATCATCCCAACCCTCAGTATCTTGCATAGTTTTGGCAAGTTCTGCTAGAAAGTCATCGCCACAGTGCTCCACAGTGATAAACTCTCGACCTTCGTCGCCTTAAAAAAAAAAAGCCAAATGAAGAAAGAGATTATTTTGCAAGTCAATAAGACTACTCCGCCAAACCCACAAAGAAATGCCAATGAGACTAACGCTCAATGAACAAAATTTAACCAGCTCCGGTCCCCATTCAAATCCAAAGTAGACCATTTCGCAGCCATCATCAGAACACCGGCTAACCGCAATAAATCTCCTTATTTAGGAATGCACAACCAATCAATTCAAAAATTACCCACGCAACACAAGCAATTACGTTGTTCGCTAATCACCAGATACCACCCAATTTGGCCAATAACCAAGAAAAGCCACCATCCAAAGTAGCCTCAACACATCAAACCGTGCCAGACATTTCGCTCGTCAGCAAGACTACTTCGCCAAGCCAGCTCCGATCTATTCAAACCTAAACCAGACTATTCCAGAGCCATCATCGCAGTGGACGAGCAACACCTGCGTAATACCTGCAACGCTGACTAGCACCAAAAAAAACAAAAAAGCGCGCGACAAGGAACAATGATCCGAGTTACCGTAGAGAGAAACGAGACGGTCCAAGGACTTGGTGGCAGACTGATGGTCGAAGCCGAACTTGAGAGCCAAGCTCAGCAACCGAGCTTTCTCCACCTCTTCCAACCACCCGATCCTCCATGGAATCTCTCAACCTGTGTTCGACGCGATTCGATCGATCGATCGATGATGCGCGAGTCGGAATGGAATCCAATCGAATCGATCGCTAGCCTCTATCGCGAGAGCGGGCGCGCTCGAAGTGCTCTCTTTCGAAACACCTAGCCAGCGATGGCGGGATTGATTGCTTTTCCTTCGCCTCTCCGGAGCGAGAGAGCGGAGAGAGATTGGAGCCATTTTCCCTTTTTGTTTCTTTTGACAAATTCCGTTTTCGCTCCTGAAGTTTGTTTTAATTCCTATTTTGGCCCCCCTCGTTAGTTTTCTTGGTTTCGTTTGGCAAGGGTGGGCTCGTTCGGTGGGAAGAAATAATGACAAAAAAATTATCCATCAATTGTGCCTCTATTCAACATTTGGAAAAAGAAAATAGTTACTTGGAGTTTTCAAAAAAAATAATTAAATATTACGTATGATTCTAACACGTGGATATTTACATAAATAGTTACTTGAAGTTTTAAAAAGATCATTAAAAAGGGTAGATGAGAATCGCAAAATTCGCAAAAAAAAAATTATTGATTGATATGGTTTGATAATTATTCGGCGCGCATGAAGTGAGAACTGATATATCCAATGAGATCCATCGAGTATTTTAAGAAATTTGGAGACCACATTTTAGCAAAAAAAAAATTCTTAAAAAAAGGTTATTGGTTTTTTTTTTTTGGACAGTAAGATTATTCGGTTGAAATAGATAGGAATATGTGTAAAAGGCTCCTTTGCATACCTAAGACTTGCGTGTCGTACTGAATATATAGATCTACAAGAAGCATCTCAAATTTCTTTTATCTGTTGTTGTGTATCCGCAAAAGAAAATAACGACAAAGTAACAATTTTTATTAATATATATATTACGATGGAATGAACTTCAAATTTTTTTAAAAAATAGCATCTCCAACACTACTTTACTGTTTAGCCAAAAAATAAATAAATAAAACTCCTTTATTGTGCCCAAAACTTCATAATAGTAATGGGAATTCACATAAGTCAAAGTTATCTTTTACGGGATTGGTCCCACATTCAACGTGGACCGTCAGATTAAAAGGATAAAAAATGTGATCCGTCAAATTTGTTTTGTAGAACCGATTTTTGTCATAACTTTCAGATGTTAAAGAAAAGTTACAGACGCAAAACTGATCAACTTTACGGATTGAGAAAAATTGCGATGTGCAAGGAAAATTACTAACATGTAGGTCTCAAACCTTTACAAAGTGTAAAAGAAAATTACGATCAATTAAATATTTTACTAAACATACACAAAAGAAATTTACTATTAACTGAATAAGTTACTATATTTATGGAATATTATGAACCACAGGCTCTAGAAAATTTACGACCTCCAAAGAAAATTTAAACCCTCTAAAAAAAGTCATGTAAGGATAAATTACAGATAAATTACTATTAGCGGGATAATTATGCGCCAAAAGAAAGTTAAGATTCATTAGGTAATTTACTAACAACAGAAAAAAGATATTCATTAGGTAGATTACTATTTTTTGTGAAATTTTACAAATCATAGGATTCAGGGAATACGGCAACAAAAGGGAAATTACATCCTGTGAAAAAAAAAAATATAAAATGATATGTAACTAATAAACTACTATTAGTGAGTAAAATTACTAATAAAGAAAATCATGAACAATTGGACGGACCCGATCTGTTTTCCCTTCTCACCTGGTTGTCGTTGATCGTTCGACTGCCTCTCGCCAATCTTTAGGTTGTTTTGAGTTGCGAAGAATATGGAGGAAGTTGTTCTAATCAAAATTGTATGTCTTAACTTTCTTTCTTTCTTTGCATTCTTCTCTCTGTACAGTCATGGTGTATGCTTAGCATTTGTGATTCTTCGCATGAAGTAACTGCTGGATTATCAACTTATGTGATTTTATCGCCAAATTAGCTGCTCCCTGCATATAAGCCAATTCTAGGGGGCCCTTGTGTTTTAGGGTATCATTTCTTGAGAAATCCGTTCCTTTTCACTTAGAAGAGGTTGGGATTGGTTCTAGCTATGTGAGGATCGAGTCAACTTGAGCCTGAGTATTTCAACTTTTGCTAATGAGCTGAGCTTGAGTAGAGAAAGCGAAACTTGATCGGGTTTCATTTTTTGAAGTTGTGCACTTTACTCTAAGCGTGCGGTGTTGATCTTTTCAAGTTAATGCATAAGTCCAATCACTACAAAAAAAATAAGGTTTTAGCCACGAATTTTGCCACGAAAAATTTGGCAAAATTCATCGCTAAATGAATTTGCGACGAAAAAAATTGTCGCTAATACGGCGTCGTAAAATTTAGCGACAAAAAATTTCAATTTTTGTCGCTAAATTGCGACGAAAAAAATTCGTGACAAAATTCATCACTAATTTGCCACAAATTGTATTCGTCACAAAATTTGTCGCTAATTATTCGTGGCAAAATTCGTTGTTAATTATTCGTGTCAAATTTCGTGGCAAATTTGCCATGAACTGTATTCGTCGCAAAATTCGTCGCTAATTTGTCCTGTAAAAACAAAAAAAAAATTATTTTTTATTAAAAAAATTCGTGGCTAATTTGCCAAGAACTGTATTCGTCAGTTTGTGGCAAAATTCGTCTCTAATTTGCCCCTAAAAAAAACAATATTCTATTTTTTTTAAAATTCGTGGCTAATTTGCCACGAATTTTATTCGTCGCTAATTTGCCCCGAAAAAACAAAAAAAATATTCTATTTTTTTATAAAAAAATTCGTAGCAAAATTCGTGGCTAATTTGCCACAAACTGTATTCGTCGCTAATTTATCCCGAAAAAACAAAAAATATTTTAATTTTTTTATAAAAAAATTTGTGGCAAAATTCGTGGCTAATTTGGAAAGGAACTGTATTCGTCGCTAATTTGTCCCGAAAAAACAAAAAAAATATTCTTTTCTTTTATAAAAAAAAATTGTTGCAAAATTCGTGGCTAATTTGCCACGAACTGTATTCGTCGCAAATTTCGTCGCTAATTTGCCCCGAAAAAACAAAAAAAAATTGATATTTTTTTTATAAAAAAAAATTCAGGGCAAAATTCGTGGCAAATTAGCCACGAATTATATTCGTCGTAAAATTCGTCGCTAATTTGCCCCAAAAAAACAAAAAAAAATATTCTATTTTTTTTATTAAAAAATTTGTGGCTAATTTGCCATGAACTGTATTCGTCGCAAAATTCAAGTGGCAAAAAAAAAGCTGCAACTAAGACTCCGTTTCTTTCACTGAAACTGAATGATAACATTTTCCTAAAAATAATTATTTATATATAGCTTACAAAAGGAATGAACAAAAAAAAATTTTATCGTTCACGAAAATATTTAGGCATAAATTATTGTCGATAATAAAAATATTTTTCATTGGCTAATTATTTCAAGCGATATAAGCAATCATTTTTGAAAAAATATTTTTCAAATCATTCTTTTTCTGTGAAATAAACAGAGATTGTTCGCGATATTAATTGCATAGAATTTGCACATACAGAGAAAACAGGACTAAATAAGCAAGCTCCAAAAGTCAGCAAAATGAAAGGACCCCAGTTACACATAGATCGAATGCCACTTAGTGAACATATCAAATTGAGCACATATAAAAGATGCAAGAAGTTTTGCCTACTAATAAGCTGTCAACTATTGTACCCAGCAAGGAAAATAAAAGGTTGTCAGCTATTATAACCTTCCCATCTAATGAAGGCCGAAGCTTCGATATATGCCACAGCTTGATACCTGGAGAAGACAAGGGAGAAAGAGAGAGTCTTATTAACAGATTGCCAAACCAAAGCCACCAGCTACAAGTGGACCGAACCCAAAACACAGGGAAGCTAGAGTGCATCCATAATAGTTGTACATGTATGAAGAGCTCTTCAAAGTAGCAGATAAAGGTAAAAATTTAAATGAAAAATGCACACGTGTGGGACATGTAAAAGAAAGAATAGTTGTTTAGTAATTCCAAAAAGTTTTGCAGCAACCGAGGCTCCTATTTGTGAGGTTTGGGGAGGGCAATCAAATGGGATCAGTCTTCTTCTATCTCTCCAGAGAGGCTTTTTCCTCACTCTCACCACAGCTTCAATACTCAAAGATAATGAACAAGGACACAGACACAAAAGTTGTTTCCACATAAAGAATAGGAGAAGGAGAAGAGGGAAAGGCACCTCTTAAATTGCTGTGAGATACAGATCACAACATCTCTCTTTGTCCAAACACTTTAATGTAAACTTCTTGAAGCAAGTGGTAAGAAGTCCAAGAACCATTTTCTGTTGGAACTATGGAAGTTGAATCTAATTTCTTATAAAAATGTATCGTCGCTACTAGAAGTCTTAATGTCAGAAAAGAGAAAAGCTTTCTCCCCTGATCAAAGATCAATAAACAGGCTTATGTATGCCAGACAGGTTATGTTCCATTGAGTCGTATCCGGCTAGAAGATGCAGGTATCTTCATTTCACCTTTCTATTCCTTGCAGAAGAAGACATGAGTTGTGACTCCTATGAATAACTCTGAAATTCTTAGCTTGGAGGGTCCAATGCAAGGTTTGAACTGCCTTAGACAATCATCTCAGTAAGTGATCAAAGAATGAGAGAAGTTTTCCTGACAGTGCCCTCGAACTATTGGTAATTATACTTCTGTTAGCGCGGAAAGTCTTATTAGCTAAGGAAATACTAAAGCTTTCACCACATTCACAGGTCCATTTCTAGAAAAGTTTTGTCAGAATATCCGACCCAAAAACTTAGAGCTTGTTCACTTCCATTTCAGCATAGGCAAAAACTACCTTTTTCCTTTCCCGACAAAATTTAAATAACATCCAAATTTCAAAAAGTAATGAAAAAACTAAACGCTGATGTATGTGTCAACATTTCTGTCATTATGAAAGTGTTAGGTGTTTTGGGTTTAAAATGGTCAAATGAGTGCACAGTAAGCTATAAGGTGTAGAGAGACAAGGCCTAAATATACCTTGTAGACATGCCCTTAAGCTATACGGCCTAGGGAAAATATATATAAGGCCTTAACAAGCCTGGTAGACAAGTGATATAGGACATTAAATATACCCTTTCAGGTGCAAACGGGAAGTGGGATGATGAAAGCGGTTAGACAGACAAGGACCACAGGTGAAATAAAATATTAATGTTTTGTTAAGATATTAAACCCAAAAGCTTAAACTATTAGGTGGAAGGAGATAACGTGTACATAAGGCCGAGTCAAGACCCAAAAACAAACAATGTTGGATACTTAACAAATCTCTCTAAAATCAGCATCATTTTCTATCCTCAAAGCTTTTCCTCGTTTAGGCATTCCAAACTGTTCCACCCAACGAGAGACAAAACTACAGTTCTTCCTCAAGAATCAGAAATCAATATCAAGAAACTTCTACAGACTAGGTTTCTCTCGCATGAGAATATACAGCAGACACCACCCTATTCAGCATTTGGCATATTCTCGCACATAACCAGAAAACAAGAACCATCAATTCTAATGTCACTCCCGCATATAAGAAAATGCTCCTGAGCAGTTATAAAAATTCAAGAAAATCCACAACAGTCAAAACTAAGGATGGCTTCTACACACTAATCTAAGGTCAGTATATGGCATGAAAACTTTAAAGGGATCATTCTTTTGTTCAATTATCACTCTAAAGGCATCAATATCCAGTAGAAACTCAAAAAAATGAACACCTTCCTATGTACCCAGAACTATTGATAGTAAGAGATCCTAAAGTTATTATATAAGAAAACTTTTAAATAAGCATTACTCAGACAGAGTCCCCGCTATCTACTTTGAGAGAACACAACCATGTCAAGCTCACTAGCATTAGATCACGAGAATAAGGATACATTACAAGATCTTACAAAACTTAAATTTCAATTGATATAAAATTCTGCAGTAAATAAAGGAGTTAGTAAATTAGACCAGCTATTATATAACTCACCCAAGGTTCAAGAGACCAGCAACTGTACTGACGCTGATATCAAAATCTACTTTGGGTTGAATAATGAAATTGCCTTCCCTTATAGGCTGACATATATTGTTTAGAAGAGAATGAGAAGCTAGTATTTCCGTTAGCTATAGGAAGTAGAAAGATGATAATTGCAACTTCATCACAAACCTCCCGTATCAGTACGGCGAATCTGCCCTCACATATCCTGACTCTTATGCAGTCACTCTCTTGCAACTGTCCATTAGCAGGAATTCCAGGAAGCCGCAAGTATATATCAATGAAATTTTGAGCAGAACTGCAGATCTTTGCACGGTCCAGAATTTTTAGAATATCTTGATAAGCCACCTAGTATAGAAGGGCATTTTATTTCATTGTACATAACAAATAAATATTCAAGATAGGAGCAACAGAGCCATTGTAGTGCTATTACTTGTTTGTTGCTCTTCAAAAGAAACAGTGAACTCTCAGGAGAAAGTACCGGGTCAAAGTCATTCCGAATTTTGAGCTGCAATGCAGGACCAAAGTTAACCCTCAAAGAAGACAATTAGAACAAAGGAGCATCTAACAGTTCATATTTCTCCAAGGTAAATTATCTAAATGATAGAGCAAATTAGGAAAAATTCACTTAAAATTAAACATTTCGGCCTTATAATCCCAGATTCACTTACATGTGCATGAACAAGATGGGGCTCGATATGCTGTTGGAACATGGGGAAGACAGTCATCATGATCTCATTCTGAGACATGAAACAGCCCACTCTGCTTTTGTCCCTTTGGACTCGAGATATCAAATGTGAATGAAACGGAGTCTTAGTCCTAACGCTACGAGCCAGATAGACACTTAATCCGGATCGAAACAATAAGTACCCGACTGAGGTGAGCCAACAACCGATCCTTAGCCGCGCTGCTCGACCCACTCGACTTCGACAACGGCTTCAATCTCTCATTCGCGCGGCAGGCCCCAACCACTTGCATATCGAGCGCCTGCAGAACCCTATCCTCCCGATCGCTCCGCTGCATCAACAGATCTCCGTCGCCTCCCCCGACGAAGACGTCTGTCAGCCTCTCCGCCATCCCAATCTCCTCGGCTGCCCCCCTCGAAACCCTCGAGCTCGGCCCGCACTCCACCGAGGACGCGTCGATCGACGACGGATCGCCGGGCTCGTCGCGGTCCAGTCGCGTCCGGCGGTTCTCGCCGTTCTCTCCATCGCCGGAGCTAGCCATGGCGAATCTCGATCGCACCTCGCCGAATTCAGGCGAACCGCTGGAAGAAACTCAAGATAACGAACCGGAAAACCACTGATTCCGAGCTCCGAGGGGGCGGAAACCACCGGCGAGAGGCGAGAACAATGCGAGAAGGGGGAGGGGAATATTGTTGCCGTCCATCGTCGGAAGCGCCGCCGAATCGATCGGGCTTGGAGCCGGGAAAACCCTAGACGTGTGTGGCCATCGCCGGAGACCGCAAGAAGCAGCGCCGGATTCGGGATCGGACCTGCGAATTTGGGACGATGAGGGGTCGAATTCGCCGGAGACGCGAGCAAATTAGAGGTTGGATTTTGGGGGCTGGGGAGAGGGAGAGAGAACAGAGAGAGAGAAAATCGGGGTGAGGGGGCATATAAAAAAACTTAAAGATCTGTGGCTAAATCAGTCGCTAAACCCACGGAAATTAATATAGTCGGGAAATTAATTTCCGTGGCTAAATCCGTAGCTAATTTAGCACGGATTTAGCAACGGAAATTAAATATCGCGGTATTTCCCTACTATAGCTAAATTCATGGCTAATTAACCACGGATTTAATCACGGAAATTAAGTATCGCGGCATTTCCCTACTATATTTATTTCCGTGGCTAAATCTGTAGCTAATTAGCCACGGATTTAGCCACGGAAATTAAGTATCGCGGCATTTTCCTACTATATTTATTTCCGTGGCTAAATTCGTAGCTAATTTAGCCACGGAAATTAAGTATCGCGGCATTTCCCTACTATATTTATTTCCGTGGCCAAATCAATGAAAAAACCTAGCCACAGTATAAAATTAGCCCAACCCTCCGCATCACGAACTAAATCTCAATTTTTTCTCTACTTTTGAGTCGCACAAAAAATATATCGGGTCAAATGATGAATCGGATCGAGTACATAAAATTCAAGACATATTTTACAGTTAATTTAACCGCGGATTTAGCCACAAAAATAAAAAATAGTCGGGAAAGTGAAGCGAGAGTTTATTTTCGTGGCTAATCCGTGGCTAAATTAGCCGCGAATTTTTTTTCGTCGCAAATTCCATTGCAAATTAGCTACGGAAAATTTTTTGTCATAAATTCTGTCGCAAATTAGCCACGAGAAAAAATTTTCTTGGCAAATTCCGTTGCAAATTAGCTACAGAAAATTTTTCGTCGCAAATTAGCCACGGAAAATTTTTCGTCTCAAATTAGCCACGAAAAATTTTTCGTCACAAATTAGCCACGAATTTTTTTCGTCGCAAATCAGCAACGATTTTTTTTTCGTCGCAAATTCCATCGCAATTAGCGACGAATAATTTTTCGTTGCTAATTTTCCGTAGCTAAATCCTTGTTTTTTTGTAGTGTTAGTAGTTGAAGGTTGTGATCCTTCACATGGCTTCGTCAGCTTGCAACTCTCCAATGCCGAATGAAAATCGTTGTTTTTACATGTTTAAAAGATGACGTGTGACTACATTTATTTTGTATTGAAGACAATTTTAAGTTCTTTCCTTTAATGGCACACATATTGTTTCCAGGATGGTATATGCTTGTAAACAATAAGCGGTTTCGTATTGTTTTCTTCTGGATTTCTTTCCTGCATTTGCTGTTGACCTTGCAATCTTTTGACTGGCGAAGGTAAACAATCTTGTTTGTTTCTCTTCATGCGTTGATCCTTTGCTTTCGTTTATTGCGCAGCAAAACCCAAGATTTTTAACCTCGTTTCAAAGTCTTAAATATGATGGGTGTGAATTGTATCTGGACCAAAAAAATGTTACTAGTTTTAGATGTTACTCCTTTTAATAGCATTCTCATAATACGGTGCAATTATTCTGTAAATCTAATATATGTGCTGAATTGTAGCGAGACCAAGAAAATGTTGGATTTAATGTAAATCTCAAAAAAAAAAATTCACGTTCAGTATAAGCAAAGAAAGCAGGGGAGAAGAAAATGGATTTTATGAATTTGAATAAAGATGAAAATTTGACAAACTTTATCAGATAGCTGATCTTGGTTATGCTGATGTATATTTCAATCAACAGATAGCTTTTACATATCAATTTCAACTTTCCTCAAACACTTGATGACAGACTAGCGTTAGGATTACATGTATCGCATAGTAGCGTGTTCACATTCATGGACTATAATACGTATTGGCTCACTCTTGTCAATTTAAAGGAAAAAGAGTATAATTATAGAACAATAACATACCACGAATGCTATCATATCAATATGAGTTATTTAGAGTCAATAGGCAAATTGAAAAGTTTGATGTATATTGTATTTACGTAGCATTGTTGGACATATAGATTTTATTAAAACACCAAAGAGAAACCGTGCAAACCCCATACAAAACCCCATCATAAAATGCAAATTTCAGTACATTATTATATTGTGATTAATATTTTCCATCGCATCATTTATAAATTAATCCTGCTCTCTTTCCCCTTTACTCTTGATTATATTGTGATCTGGCTATATCCATATTCATGTTCTTGAGTGATCAACTCGTCCTCGGATGGGTGTTGCACTTTTATCTCATTCACATGGGTAGGTCGGCAATGGCGATTAGATTGTGCAAGATTTTTCCCCTGACAATGAAGCAGCAGCCTCATGGAATTTTCTAATAAATGTATAGTCGGTAGATTAGCGAAAAGTCTTCTTCAGCCCACTATTCCTTGATTAGTAATCCTCTTTTCCATTTATTACAACCCAATAATGTATCTAGGTGGGAGAAAATGGAAAGCAGCAGTAGCTATCTTAGCCAGCTTAGCTACCAAATTTTGAAAGATCAAGGGCGAGGAGGAGTCGGTTCTTAATCTTTTCCTTAGCACCGGCCGCTTGTAATGGAAGCAGCAATAATGGATCTCAGACAAAGGAAAATGACTCGTACAAGAAATCCCTTTTCAAATTAGCCCTCGATCTGCTCTTTATCGTACAATCACAACGCTTTTATTTCAATTTAACCCTATGCCCGAAAGAAAAAATGAGTCGAAACTTGCGTGAGGGACACCCGGGGTTTTCTGATTTGACCCAATGATATTTGTCAGTATGGTCTATAAACCATGTAATAACTTCTTGGCCCTACCCAACCAGCTTGCTTCTACATTAGCCATATGCTCGACATCCATGTCTAATATGCTCTAGATTTAAGAAACTTACGCAGTTTCATACTCTGAAATTATTTAGAAATGTTTTTGGTTCTCCTGAATTCATGAGGGAATCAAGTGAGCAGGATTATAATGACAATTTTCCCTCCCACAAGTCTCTTGAAAACACAAATTTCAGGATTCTAATTTTTCCCTCTTTTCTTTTGAGTAGGTCTTGTCGGCTTTTGCCTTAATCCTTTCTTTGCAATTAAGCAAAGCAAGATGGGGGAAGACTTTGACTTGCTTTTCCTCGCCAGTCCTCCCCCCCCTTTCTTTCTTTTGAGTAGGTCTTGTTGGCTTTTGCCTTATTCCTTTCTTTGCAACTATGCAAGCAAGATGGTGGAAGACTTTGACTTGCTTTCCCTCTCTAGAGAATTTTCTAAAAGGCAATTAACTCGGTTTCATAGAAAAGTTGATATAAAATCTTCGAAAAAATCTTTTCTCCATAATAAAGATTTTTTTTTTTGCAAAATGCAGATGTTGACGTGAGCATGCTATGCTAGGAGAAATATCGCACTGACCCAATTTGGCATAGCGCTTGACTGCTACAACAACATATTTGTTCTTGAGTTTATGAGTCCTCGATTACAGCCCACCGCGGTGTTCGGCTCGACATCAAATCTAATCGAGGTCCAATGCCTCGTCTAGCTCGATACATGCCAGAATTACTCAAAAATGCAACGCTAGATCTAGTCAGGCGTCATCGCAACTTGGAGCAAGACACCTCTATTTTCGAGTCGGGCCATGACAAAGGAGAGAGAAAGAGATGCGGACAAAGATGGGGGCTAAGTTGTGGCAGGTGCCGTTGCTGTTGGGTGGGGGAGTGACGGTAGGATGGTGATGTAGTGGTAGGGGGAGGTGGAGAGAGAGAGAGAAAAATGATATGGCAGAATAAAAGGTATTTCACGTGATTGCTGTATCACGGTGCGATAAGCCAACGAAAAGTAAGTATTTTTTACATTTAAGTGCCCATTAGGATGTAATTCGGCTAATAACCAAGAAAAACCACCATCCAAAACAACCTAAACACACCAAACTGGAATAGTACCAGACATTTTGCTTGTCAGCAAGACTACTTTGCTAAACCAGCTCTAATCTATTCAAAAATGAACCGGACCAATTTGAGCCATCATCGTAGTGGATGAGAAATACCTACATAATATCCGCAACGCTGACTAGCACAAAAAATGCACGACAAAACAATGATTCGAATACCGTAGTGCTATACAAGACGGTCCAAGCACCTGTTGGCGGACAGCTGGTCGAAGCCGAACTCGAGCGCCAAGCTCAGTAACCGAGCTTTCTCTACCTCAAAGCCCCGATCCTCCATGGAAGTCAACCTGTTTGAGCAATTCGATCAATCAATCAATGATTATGCACAAGTCGGAATCGAATTGATTGCAAGTCTCTCTCGAGAGTGCGCACTCGAAGTGCTCTTTTCGAAAAAACTTCCCGGCGATGGCGGGATTGATGTTTTCCCTTTATATTTTTATATATGGTGGAGAGTTTGAGAGATTGGAGCCATATTTTTTGAATTTTTTTTTAAAATTGCTTTTTTGCACCTGAAGTTTGTCTAAGCTCTATTTTGTCCCCCTATAAGATCTTCTGGTTTCATTAGACGCCCTTGGGTCTTTTTCTTCTTCTTTTTTCTGTGTTTGAGTCATTGTTGACCTCAGTAGATAAGAAAGTGTGTGAAGGCTCCTTTGCAAAGAGAAGACTTGCGTGTCGTACTAAAGTTATAGATCTATGAGAAGTATCTCAAATTCTTTTATCTGTTGCTGTGCATCAGTCAAAAGAAAAAATTGACAAAGTAATATAGTTTCTTAGTTATATTTTTACCTTTATAAATATATATTATAATGGAACGATTTACAAAATTTTGGAAAAATAGCATTTCCAACACTACTTCATTGTTTGGCAAAAAATAAAGAACTACTTTATTATGGCCAAAACTTCCTCATCGTGATGGAAATTTCATTAGTCAAAGCTCTCTTTTATGGGATCGGTCTTGCATTAACACGAACCGTTAGATAAAAGGGAAAAAAATGTGATCCGTCATATCTGTCTTGCAAAATCGATTTTCTGTCATCACTTCCAAACATTAAAGGAATGTTACATACGCAAACGTGATCAAATTATCATTTGATTAAGAAAAGTTAACGATGATTATGGAAAATTACTGTAAACTTTACCAAGTGCAAAGAAGAGTTACGATCAAT